TAAATAAAATTACCCCAAGAATACAGAAGGGGTAAATTACATCTAGGAGCTCTGACTGTAGTAAAAGTTTAGTTTTGATTAATGGCATTAAGTCAGTGTAGGAGCAGTCGGGAGGTGAAGTAGGTCAGACTCCCTGAGCTGTTAGAAACTATGTTTGCTTCTGTAGACAATACTGGCTTTAATGAGCAATGACCTTCGGCTGCCACTGGGGGATTCTGAAGTGTAAAGAGACTGGAGTGAAGATCAGGATCTGTACAGTCTGAAAACAAGGTTTCCAGGCAATAAAGGATGTAAAGTTACTACGGGGTCCTGTTACTGCACAAAGTGGAGAAGTTTTTATATCGATGGCTCCAGGGGGGCTACAGTGGGGCTACAGTGGTGCAGGGGTGACAATATAGCCCAGGGGATACGGTGTAGGAGACCTTGGTTCAAATCCTGCCCTCGGACAACCTTAAACTCTAGTTGATCAGTAGTAGAGCTTTTAGCACGCCTGCCTTAACAGCAGCAAGCAGGTAGTCCCTGGGTTTGATTCCCAGGGGTACAACATACTTGGTGCATGTTGTATCAGATCTGCTGGTAACACAAGAATTTCCCAAGTGTTGGCTCAATAAAGTTCAAATTATTATTGTTATTATTAGGTAGGACACCCATCTAACACCACAAGGTTCTGGGGTTGACATCACCTACTGAAGTCCTTAAATCCCAAGTTGGGTTGCGTCAGGAAGGGCGTCAACAAATACATAAATCTTACCTCGACCTGGCAGCTCCACCTCCAATCCTCTATTCACATCACATCTAATACAACAACTTCATCTTCATACTGCTCATTCACCTGATCTGTATCTCACCTCCAGCTCAGACATAATCAAGCTGTGAACTACATCATAACCAAGCCCCACAATTACAACGAGTTCTTTTGTTCCTGTAGATCAAACGTGTTGAACACGTTAAATGAAGGCCAAACAAAAGTGCTTTACTTCTACAGTCTTTTACTGTCCAATGTGTCCTGTTCTGGTCTGTAAGAGCTCAACTGTGAGTTCAGCATCGAGGGATGATAAAAAAAAGAATGTGAAAGAGAGACAAAGACAGTGAAGCAGAGACATGGTGATGAAGACAAAAAGGCAGAGAAACAAAGACAGAGGCAAACTAAGACAAGCAGAGACAAATGTACAGAAGAAAAAAAAAAGACGAAAAAAAAAGATGAGATCAGGAGGAAGACTCTAGACACAGCTGACACACTGTGTTAACATTAAGCCAAATGTTAAGCAACAAACACTGTGTGGAGCAGGAGACGTTTTATGACACCTTTTATAAAGATTCCCGCTCTTCTACAGCAGTGAAAGCTCCCTCTGCTCGTTAAGGACAAACTATAAACTTTTAACTGAATCCCTGTGGAAGTTTTGAGCCAAAGAATCATTTTAAGAGAGGTTTGAAGGTCTGCACTAGAGAGAAGGGGGATAAAGGTCAGCAGAAACAGGTGGACCTCTGATGCTGTGAGTTCAAGTAGTAACACAGCAATTTCCCCAGGGCGGGATCCATAAAGTTCAATCTAAACGAAGAGTTTATATCACAGGTGAAGGAAGTGGACATGCGTCAAAAGCATTTGGCTTTGGTGAGGTCTGCTATGATGTTTGGTTTAAAAGACAAGGGAGCGGGTTGGAGGTAGCTGAGCTGAAGCTGATGGTACTGTGTTGTAGTGATCAAGTCTGGCAGGGTTAAAAAGGAGCACATCAGAGGAACTGCTAAGGTTTGAGTTTGAAGGTTTAAATCTAAGAGGCAACGTTGGGAAAAGTTGAACATTAGCTGAGGAATGATGGTGTAGGTACTGGACAAATGATGTTGAAGAAGCAGCAGCCGAGCAGTAACAAAAATGATGAGAAGGATTAAGTGAAAGACAACAAGAGATTTTTGGTCTGACAATAGAGGAGAGCAGCGAAGTAACTACAGAGAGGACAAAGGCAAACTACGGCCCACGGTCTGGATACGGACATTTGATCTTTGTTATCTGGTCCGTCAAAAATTGGTATAAAGTTGTCTTTTGTGTAAAGACCTTTGTCATTTTAGCTGATTTTACTGGATTTTGACATCATTTACTTGCTATCACTGTACTTTAAAGTTACCCAAACCAAGAGTTACTCTGTTCCAGGTGCACTTATTTTGAAAAACAACCAGATTCACAATTACATCAGGTTGTTCATATTGACACATGAGGACACGTCTCATTTCTGTGATAGAGCCCCTGACATACTTTACAAATGTTCTTACCTTAGCTCTGTGGAGATTTTCAGAGGGAGAGGGATTGATGCAGAGGGATTTCCTGCAACAAAACAATAGAGAAATTTAACTTCATGCTTTTTTTACCAAAGCCACAGAAAACATGAGAGATTCAGATTTTGAAAGGCAGGCCAGTTCAGTATTGGTTGGATATAAAATGCTAAAATTAACCAAATTATTTAAATAAAATGTACAAGAATAAACCTAAACCTTCAAAGAAAAACTGGGACATTTGATGTCTTGAACTAGTGTTTGGCGGGCCATTAAAAAATCCCAGTGGGCCATATGTGGCCCACAGGCTGTAGTTTGCCCAAGTCTGATGTAGACCAATCCTGGGTCTCTTCCTCCCACACCAAATACACCAAACCTTGTTTTTTAGAGATGGCTTTTAGACCACTAGGGGCAGAGTCTTGACATAGAACCTTCCCAAAAGTTCGAAGCACAGAACTGCCAAACAAATCTCACCAGGCTAAAATATAAAAACTTCCCTTCACTAGAAAAGGTCTATGAAAAACCCCACAACTACAACACCATCACACACATACACATGCCTACTCTACGGCCTGCTTGACAAACAAGTTCCATACTCCAGCCTCACTAACAAATAACCCAAACCTGTCCATCACACAGAACACACTTCTGCTCCCAGCAAAGCTGCCTTTTCTACTGGAAGTTAATGCCAGAAGAGTTTTTGAACTCAGTGTAGCTATTGAGTCAACACAGTGTTGGCAACTTTAACACCCGCTGCCCCTCAGCACTTGGCAACAGCAGCATTTATGGACTGCCCTGGATACTTTTAACACACTCACTGTCAAATCAGTGTTGAAATCAGCTCTGCTTTTTGTTTTTCTGAACTGGAACTCGTTTGCAAATAACTGAAAGATTTCAGGTTGGTAAAAGAAGCAGAACTTGTTCCAGTGAGACAGAGATGCCTTTAAACCCCGTGTTATTGATTTATGAACTGGTCTAATCTATACACAAATAATTTCCTTAATTATGTTATTATTTGTAATTATGAAGTAGCCAGAGATTTGCAGCACTAGAGTTTGTGTATGCAAGTTCAACTGTTAGCTATAAATGCCGTTAGCTTTAACTTCACCTTAGAGCACTTCTCCACTACTGTAATGTTTGGATAATAACAAGCCTCCAGTCACTAGGTGGCAGCAACTCATATATTGGTTTGTACAGAAATAAATATACACGTTATGCCTACATGTTGGACATGAAAACATTTTTGTTCCCAAGAGGGGCATGACAGAAAATAATCGAGAACTATTAGCTTAGAGTATGGTCAGCAAACTGACAACAACCAAAGCCAAATAAACCCCCACAGGAGCAGGTGAAGTCGCCCTGAAGCAGCCTGTCTCAGCAGCTTCATCTACAGTGTTTATGAGAACAGTAACTGATCAGCCTTCTCACACCAGCATGTGTGTGTGTGTGTGTGTGTGTGTGTGTGTGTGTGTGTGTGTTTCTGTGTATGTTGTTGTGGTATAGAGCTGTGATGTTATCAGCTCTGACCAACAGTGTGATAAAGAGCTTCCCATGCTTACTTCAACTGGAGCCCTCATGGAAAGCAGCTGACCTGAGCCCTCAGGGGTCTAACCGGTGAAACTGCCTGCTCCTCCACAGAACGGCTGCAGCAGAACTGCCTTAACTTTTTTCACCACAGTCCCACTTTTTCCCACAGACTCAGGAGGCTGCCTGGAAAAATCTAGGAGAGTGAGAGAGAGAGAGAGAGAAAAGCAGGAGGTCCTTAGGACTCACTCAGCTGACAGCTCCTGTCTCTGCCTGTAACGACTTATTTATTCAGGGATGATTAATCAGACACACTTTTCTGGCCGTATGATTAATGTGCTTTGTCATCTGCGCTGCGGCAGTGAGACACACTAGTGGGCTCACCTGCCGACAATGCTGTGACAGCCAAACAGGACGTCCTGGTTGAAGACGAGAGCGTGAACGGAACCTTGTGATGCATGACTGAGGTCTTTTCTCTCTGTAATGTGTATTGATTTTTTTTTTCTCCCCCTCTGTAGTTGTCCATTGGCACTCGTGTCAAGAAATGGCCTGTCACTGCCTGATGCACTGCTGAATTCATTGCGCTCCTGCACTTGTGTTGTTATTTTGGTGCTTGAATTAATCGTTACACAAGTAAAATCAATCAAAAAAGAGAGAAAAAAAAGTTTATCTGGGCAAACGCTATTTAGGGACATTACATTTGAATATTCAACAGCAACTGTAATATAAATGCAGAGTTGTCAATAATGCAAATTTTCTATTTTTAAAAGGGCTGTTTTAGACAAAAAGATAAAAATGCAACGTGTATTTTAAGGAGTTGTTACAAATTGGGCATACGAGTCTAAGCTCGTTTTATTTAGTTATTTATTTATTTGAATTAGTTGACTAGCTAGCCAGTTAGCTAGTTATTTTTTATTTTGTTTGTTTATCATTTGGGGACTTCCTGGAAAAAGCACGGGCAAACAAGTCACCCTAATACACACACCTACCTGTAGCTTTTTCACTTCTTTCAAAGTTAATTTCACATTTCAATTCACAGCTCGGGTTAAAAAATAAACCTCCACAAATGTAAGAACGTCTGCTACAGTTTCCACTTACGTGTTGTCACTCCATACCTCGGTGTACGAACTACAAACGTTACAGGGTCATCCGACTTCCGCTTTTTTCGTGTCGTCAGGAGGAAGCTCTGCACAAGTTTCTTTCTGGTAAGGTTGAGCTCAGCGTGCCACCTTGTGGCAAATTTTGTAATTGCAACCCCTAAAGAAGAACTCTCCCTCTCCCCGTCCATTTTTTAATATAAAAACATTTTGTATCTCGAGAGATATGTGGAGATTGTTTTCCATCATTTTTTTTTACATATTATGAACATTGACGTTTTATTTTATTTATAATTATTAAAACTATATTTATTTATTCGTTTTTTAAATTAATACATATTTAAATGAAATGTAGGTTTTACTATTGTACTACAATGAACCTACAATGAAATGTAGGTTTTACTATTGTACTGATTGTACTAAGTAACACAACTGGCAAAATTATATTAATATAAAAGACAATGGCAGATTATAGTTGTGAGAGTAGTGTTTGTATGTGGAAGTGTGTGTCAGAAATTAAAACCCACTAACAAATGCACTGAAACACAGATATTAAATACAGCAGTACTTTATACAAAACTCTGACATTTTAAACACAGAAAACTGTTGTCGACACCACAGCAAATCGAAGCACTTTTCTCCTTCATTCCTCTTCCGTGCGTTTTGGCTGAAGATAAAACAAAACAAAAAGACATTCTAATTTTCAGATGCTGCTCATCCAGGGGAACGGGGTATTTTTTTGCTCGAGAATAATAGTTCAAAATCTTTGAATTGTCGTATTTCAATTTATTGCACTGTCACAGAATGACCAGCAGACGTCCCCATAGTATTACCTTACCTTGGATTTGCCACAGTTAGCGATTTTATTGCCTTCGGAAAAATAGAAAATAAGTATATATGAGTATACTGTATATAGGTAGGACATGTAAATAATATAGACAACGTTACTTTAATGTCAAAAGAAAACAAATAGGACTAATAATGAGGAGTTTCATTCAATCACAGAAAAAAAATCACAGACCGCTGACCCACCTGCCAACAGAAAGATGGACAGGAACACAATGACTCCAGCAAAGACCAGACCTCCAACACGCAGTGTGTAGTAGTCTGAAAGAAAAAGAAATCACATTTTGAGTCTGTGAAACTCAGTTCTTTTTTCACACTGTTTTGGGCTGTGATCAGCTCTGTTGTACCTTTTCGGTCAAGATGAAGTGAATTTCCACCTGTATCATTTGAATCTTACTTGTTTCAATATTCTAACAATCACCCATTTCTGTATTTAGAGAAGTGTAATATTTAACCAGACCTGAAGTATTTTCCGAGTTGCATCAACTCACCGTATACAAAGTCTGCATCAGGATCAATGTCAGCACCTGGGGACAGAGTGGAAAAGTATTTTGTGACATGAATCATCCAAAATAGATACATTCTACTTTAAGGGAAAATAATATTAGCAGATTTAGAATGGTACAAAACAAATTCTAAGAAAATAGGTCATAGTCTGCACGGCTTATTCCCTGAAGGTCAACACACGACATGGTGATATTTCTGTGAATGTCTGGACTTGGTTTTCTACAAACTTTATCATTTTGGGGCCTGGAGTCTTCTTTGTGACATCACTGTTTTAAAGACATTCTCCAAAGCAGCAGTAAATATAACATCAGTGTGTTTCTCTGCAGCAGAACAGTGAGAAATGTGGAGGTAAGATGGCACTGTGCAGGAACGGCGGCGTTCCCCTGTCACTAAAGCACTGTTCTTGAGCAGGTTCAGCCTGGTTAATACTTTAATAATCTGTTACCAATTTAACCTCCTGTTATGCAAGTGTATGATTGACATGTTTCTGTGAAGAACTTAAGACGAAAAAGGAGGGGAGGGGCACCTGTGACGACGGCAGACGAAGAAGTCGTTACAGACGTTACATAAATGTGATCATGTTGGTGCTGTTGATCTCACCTCCAGGAGACGACATGTTGACTCTTCTGTGTTTGTGTGTTCAGTGGTGGAAACTGCATAGACAGACAGCAAACAGTGTTAACAAAGGGAAGCTGCCGGTGGAGCAGTGGAGCAGTGGAGCCTGGGTATCCCTCTGTTCTCCTGGTGTTTGACATGCGTTTGATGACTTCAGGCATATGTGTTGTTTTCAGTTATTTGACCGTACTGCTAACTCATTGTCAGGTTCCATATTGATGTGTGATTCTAGGTGGTTTTTAATGAAGTGGGATTCCTGTGGCTCGGCTCTACACGGGATTATCCAGATTAAGTGAAAGACTCCTGGAACTCCATACAGCTCCTGCAGCCTTGACGACACAGTGATTGATTTTCTTTTTTACTGGCATCTTTTCAAAGACTAATGACATGATTGATCCTCTCCACTTCTCACACACGCACGTACACGTCAGATTTAAACTAGATATCTTGACCTAATTATGCACTACACAGATCAGCAGCCAAAAAAAAAAGTTTCTTTCCCTCACTTCCCCCCTCTGTCCCCCCTCTGTTACAGCATGCCACTGTGGATTGTGGACTACAATACGTCCATTCATCACAGGTCGCAGCCTTTCCACTGCTCCACTGCGCGTAAGGACACAGCGGGCAGTTACTCATTAATTCATCACAGCTCCAATATTCATTAACCTTGAACTTTGTACAGTCTGGTACTGAGCTGAGGAGGAATGACAAACTGCTGAAAAAATACAAGGAAAGCAAGGAATCCCACACTGACATGAAGATATTCTTAAATGAAGTAGTGCGACCTAAATATAGTATTTTCAACATTCCCTGTCTGGTACGTAGTAACTCTCGTCCCATAATGCTCGTTTGTAGAGTGCAGTAATGGTCTGAGGTGTGAATGTCACAGTAGTTTTCACTTCATAACATTAACTTTACATCACATTATAATACAGCAAAAACAAAAAAACAATCTACTCACAGCTAAACCTTGACAGCAAAACACACAGTTACACAGTACTTGTACTGGAGTACTCCTACATGATCCCACAGTGACAGTTGATCTCAACAAGTCAAACCAAACGCTGTGATTTCAGGCATATTTTCTTCCATAAAGACAGAGAGGTACTCACCTGAGCGGCTGAAGGCGCTGTATTGCCTCTGGTCAGGTATTTGCGAGTGTGTGTGTGTGTGTGTACCCCAGTCTCACACTGGGGGAGGTGCAGCTTTAACTCCCACTCCACAGACCCACCCACACTCTCACACACACACACACACGCGCGAAGCACATCTCCACGCCCTCACCCACAAAGACACAATCTCATAACTTGTGGACTCTAACACCAATAAAGAAAAGCTTTGTCAACCTTTGAAATCAGATCAGAGACTCAGGGCTGTAGAGGATGTCGCCCCTCCCCCCTCCACAGCCTATAACCTTCACTGACATTGATCAGACACTCCCTGAAACATTGTGCTGTTGGTGGTTTTATGACGTTTAGTGATCTAGACCAGTGGTTCTCCAACCTTTTCTACTCTGTACCACCTGAGAAAACACTGCGCTCTCTTTGTACCACCATGATGACCAACAGTAGAATACAGCAGCAGAGGCCTTCCCTATTGGCTTCCACCACACTAGTTCTACCACTAGAGCGTGCCTGCGTACCACTGGTGGGACGCGAACCACAGTTTGAGAACCACTGGTCTAGACTATAAAGACTAATCGATTCAAACAGTCCCAAAAATGTGTACATGTTTTTATTGATTCATTTTTGTCAAAAAAAACCTACAATTTTCAACACACAACAACGTAGCTCTGAACAAACATGGCATGTTATTATTATTTTGTTTTTACAAAAGAAAACAGGACAGTGACGGCAACGAGTACTACTCTACAAAGCTGAATACATGATCGTACGAAGTATCCTGGGATAACTCGGTAACTCGGTAAGTAGTACAGTACATAAACAAATATTACACAGACTGTGTCAGGTACAGTTTTGTGGCACATGAGGAAGCAGTCTCTGCAGAAGACTGAGGTCAACCCTGGAGGACAGAAGGCAGTGACTCAGCTGTTACAGGTTCTACCATAACTACACGCTTAAAGAGTATAACTACGTACTAGCTGAAAAGTACCTGGGTTCGCTGCCGTGGCGGTGGAGATTGTCTTGTATGAGGCTCATCACGTCAAGACACGAAAACACACGCACGGGTGGCGTAAGCAACGGTTCACATGCAGATACGGACTCACACGAACAGAGACTTTCAGGAACAACGTCTAAGTGCATAAAGTATCTGAACTGGTACAAGGGATAAGTCAAAAAGTTCTTTATATTCTAGAGGCGTCTGACGTCAATCGCTAAAACATGTCCAGACCGAGTCCCTAAGGACATGTGGTTCAATCTTTGTCAAGGTTTGAACAGTTCTGAAAGTGGAGAAAACACTGCATTTTTTAACCAAATCTATGTGGGATGGAAACTTATAATGGGACCTTATAACTTTTTTTAATTTTTTGATCTAATTTTTCCCGCCTGTTCTAAAACGCACAATGTAACTACTGGATTCCAGGCCTTTTTAGTAAAAATTGTTTTTCAATTCATCTAGAACATATGTGTCAAACTCAAGGCCTGTGGGCCAAATGCGGCCCGTCAAGCTGTTTTGTGTGGCCCGCGGGAGGTTTAAAAGCATTTAGTAAAGTTCATGCAGGAGAGTTGACCTATGGACTGGTACTGGTCCGCGGACCGGAGTTTGGGCACCCCTGATCTAGACCTTTTGACAAACCCTTGTATATGCTACTGTATCTTGTTTTGCTCTAATACTTAATAGAAATAGTATATAGGAAAACCATGCGTTTCTATTGAGTCTAAAATTAAGCATATATAGAGAAAAAGTTTGGTTTAGTATCCTCTTTTATAGGACAAAATCCACTATTTTTAACAGACAAACTGATAATACGTAAGACTTAAATACAAAACTAAAACCTAGAAGCAGGGACTAATACAACAACAGAACATCGGACCACACCATACGAAATGTTTCCTGTGGTTTTAAAAGACGACCTTGAGTCCTAAGTGCTACAAGCTAAGACTAAAAAACAAATCAACAGACGGTCACAACAGAGCGACAGACTGAGAGTTTGTCTTATTGGTTATGTTTCATTTGAAATCATTGGTATTTCAACTCTGCTAGCCTGACATATACACAGTGGAAATAATTAGTGCTGTTACAGTGGCAGAATATTGTAGAAAATAAAGAGAAAACGACTCATGGTGATGTAAGAAGGCAGTCTGGTCCCCCTGGTGGTGTCTCAGTTCTCTGCTGCTGGAGTCTCTTTGACAGCTACCACAGCTGGAGAGGAAGAAAACGGGGGGAAAAAATAGATAGATTCTAATTTTTTTTAGAGATTTTAATTTAATTTACTGTGTAACATAACTTAAAGACAATGCTAGCAATGAAATACCTTGAGCACAGCGTCATTACCTTAGCAATAGCATTCAAAAATAAGAGTAAAAAAGTTTGTACCACAAGCAGGTAACTGATTGTTATCCAATCAGCTTCATGAAAAAAATAACCAAAAATAAGCTTCTTTTCTTCTGTTGGCGACTGACGCACACTAATCAGCTGAAGTCAGGTGGTTTCACACTCTTTAACATCCTCAAAATGCAGTACGCTTCTCACGTTGTGACATTAGATTTATTCAAATCAGTCGCGAGAAATTCAAGCTTCATTGAAACCGAGGACACAGACATCCAACAATTAACAGCCAAATGACACGGAGCTTTTTCAAAAATCCAATTTGGTGTGAGATGCATGTCAGCACGTTCATTTGAAAACAGCACATGAAAGAGCTCTGTTTCCAAAACAAGCCTTAATCCTGTCTTATAAAGGAATGAGAATGCAGCCATGACTTTCATGAAAACTCATGACAACAGCTAGAAAAGAGCACCCTACCCTTGGTGACTATCAGGGTCTCCTCCTGCGCCTCCTCATCACCAGGGGCGCTATAGAGCACAAGAAATAAATTCAGACAAAAGCAAAAAAATATATACTGTATGTATTATCAAGTCGGAGAGAAACACTGACATACTTTGGTTTCTGTTTGACACTGCAGCGACATCGCCGACCTGTGAACACATCTCACCGTGTTAGCTAAATGTTACATTAGCTCAGGTTCTCAATCTTTTTCGGCTTGTGACCCCATTTTGGTGTCACAATTTTTCTCGTGACCACGTGATCGTAGCCATCAATCAAAATGTGCCAGCTCAGATATTTTTATGTGCTGTATTTTATCTGAACTTGATTTATATTCATGAAAGTTAGAGAATATAGTTGTTTCAGATTGTGTGTGTGGTGTTTTTAATCACACTTTAAAAAATAACAATTAGTTAAAAAAATATTTTCATCAGTCATTTTCAGGCGACCTTATTTGAATACCAGGTGTCACCAAATGGGGCGTAACCCTCAGGTTGAAAAACACTACTGAATAGAATCTGATGAATTTTGTATTTATTGGAAGATGATAAAGAACATAAAAGGATGAGTAAAAGTGAGTCAAAAAGTCCTAGGACAAAAATGATAAATATATACTTTTTAAATGAAAATGTTAAAGCTTTTATTCTACATGTACTCCACATGAGCAGGAACAGCACCCCCTGTCTTAGAACTGCCTGACGTTCTGTGAGTCTGCGTGTGTGTAATTCACGTTCACCATTCCATTTAGCTCAGATCATAATTGATATAAAAGCTGAGTTTTGTAACAAAAAAACAACAAAATAATTTGTGTAAACTACTCTGTAAAGTATTAGTTAATCTCATTTTGAAGTAATAAAATATATATTTCAATCAAGCGGAGCTGTTTCTGCTTATATACAGTCTATGTTATGTACACAGTCCATCAAAGAGACAGGGACAGGTGTGAACTCACTGAGGATAAGGAGAATTCCCAGTGTAAACAGAACCACAGCGAAGGCCAGTCCTCCGATCCTCAGACTCTCATAGTCTAGAATCACCAAAAAGAAACACAATGAAGTAAACACACACACACAGGTGTCTTTAAATCTGGGGGAGTGTGATTTTAACAGAAACTCTGACTCACCGTAAATAAAGGGGTTTTCCTCTTTGTCTTTGTCTGTGTCGTCTGTGAAATGACAGCAACATCAAGGACCGACAGGTTTCAACTTTTATTTCAAATACTGACAGATACAAATACTCAATAAACCTGAGAATAAAAATATTTAAGTTGAATTTTTATTTATTTTTTGCTGGTTATCCTTTCTAATAATAATAATCATCATTTTATATTCACAGGGAACTGGATGAGTTTTCTATACTGTCCCATCAGTACATCAGTTACCCCTACCTCACTGAGGGCTATTGCATCTGATAAAGTAACCACTAGAGGCAGCAGCATCCTCCATCATCTGACTAAACTCTAAAAATTGACAAAAGATTTACTGGGAACTTCATCTGTCACTAGGAAAACCTTTGCATTTCACAAAAAAACATGACTATTTGATCGTCTCCCCCTTTTGGTTCATTTATGTCATGACACTGCGTTGTGATCAATACCCTCCTACATCGCTCTCATCTGTTGCACAGTGGGCTCTCTGTCAAGGACCTTTGATTGTGATTTGATCTGGAGCTGAAGTGGTGGAGATAACATTACAGCTACTCACCCTGTGCACCGGTGTCTGCTACAGCTGAGAGGCGGAGAGAGGGGGGGGGGGTCGTGAGAGAGAAAGTTAGAACACTATGAACAGGAAGTAAAAAACAGACTTACAAAAGTCTGATTAAAGTATTCTAGAAGTATTTGAACACAGTGTGTGTTTATAATCTGTGTCTTAACCGTAATGACACAGTGTTGTAGACAGACCTCACACACTCACCCAGCAACAACACCACAGGGTGTGTGTTAGAGTGTGTGTGTGTAGCTACAGAATACTACTGTTGTGGGAACACTGTATCCTTGTGAGGTCTTTTTGCCACACTGAGTGACAGGGTATTTTAAGTTTTAGGTCAGTGATCATCAATTGGGGGACCGCGGGCCAAATTCAGCCCGCCAAACCATTCAATCCGGGTCGTGTCTGGATTGCAAAAATTGTGAGGATCGAAGAGTTTTTCCTGTGTGTGTTTGGTCCCAGCAGGTGATCTCAGCTCTGACCCCCCTGATGCAGAGTGACTGTGAAGACACCACTGTTCCCTGGAGACATCGTGCTCCAAATTCAAAGCTTATAACAAACAAGTGTCTGTCGTCGCAATGAATTAAAGTGTGTAACTCCCTTTTGGTGCAACTGTGTTTCTGTTGATTCTCTGAGACGACATGTTTACTTCAGTGGATGTTGAAAATGTTTAGGTTTTTATAACAGAGTGAACAGAGAATTGGTTTTTATGTGTCTGGGTCTGCGTGAGTGACATTGAGACGGAGAGAAAGGGAAACACAGACAGGGGGGAGGAGGGGGAGGGATACTCACCAGACACGCAAACCAGGAGGGAGGAGAAGAAGAGCAAAATGGTTTCCATGACGACTGTTGACATATATATATATATATATATATATATATAAGAGAGAGAGAGAGAGAAAATTAAGGTGAGAGAGGATAAGAGAAACCCAGGTTCATCTGAGGTGACTGTCTCAGTGAGTCTCCTCTGCCACACCTGGATGACAATCTCTTATCAACACGTGACACGAGAGCTACAAAAACATCTGAGGCACTCGGAGAATGCCGTCTCTGCCAGGTTGACTCTGTTTCCCAGTGAAGTCTCTCGTTGGACGAGGTTTAAGTGGCACCATGAAAAAAAGAAAACCACAAATAAACATCGCTGCCTCTGTTTGTGTCATAGCGCCCCCTCACAAACCCAAATCTTCATTTGCTCCACGTGCTTTTGTGCACAACAACAGTCTATAATGCATCATTACACAGAAAAAAACGACTTTTTAAACTAGGGGGCAAATCGATTTGTCCTCGTCTGAACATGCTCTACTTCTCTGGCACAGTTTACTTCTGCCTCCCAGTGGACAGGAAACAGTGTTGACCTGTTTTACTACGTGAGACTTTTATGTATGGAGTTCCACAGTGGCACAACGAGGACGACGTTTGTGGTTTTCATTAAAAATGAAATCCCCTGTGGGGCTAAAAAACATCAGCATCATCTGTATAAGTGAAAGGAACACTGGGTTACGCACTGTAGTTCAATTTCTTACTGTAAACAGCACAGAGCAGGGAAGAGCTCCTGGCTGGGACAAAAGGATTACAGTAACTACTCATCTGGGTCATAGTGAAATAGACAGGTACCTGTTACCTGGTACCTGTTACCTGGTACCTGTTACCTGGTACCTGTTGCTACTGGTAAGAAACAGCAACAATGACAACACTGGGAAGACTGCTGTTTCTATGATGAGCAAAACAGTTACCTCAGAAATATATATATTCAACTAGAGCAGAAGTCTGCAACTTTAAACACTAAAATGAAGACTTTTTTTTATTATTTTACCACCAAATAGATTCACCCAAAGACTAGCTACACGTTTTGACCATTCAGTAGATGGCAGTAGTGTGACAGTGGAACAACAATTTCAAAATGTTCCATGAACATTCTGGCACTGAACTGTCTTCATTTATTATTACCTAACGTCACGTAATAATAAACCTCATTAAAATGATACTTATTATTACTTCATGATGAGCAGTCCATTACACTTCCTCAGAAATACAGCCCAGCAGTTATGCAACCACAGACTATTTTAACCATTTCGTACATATTGTATATTCATCCATCCATTTTCATCTACTTATCCGTTACCTAGTCACAGGGGCAGCAGTCTCCATGACCGCCATCTAAATCACCCTGCACCGTACCAACCCCCCTGAACCTTCCTGCAGGTGGTGAGACCACTGGAAGGTACTAACCGCCCTAACTGGGATTCAATCTTGCCCAGGAGGTGAACCCTGGGGTTCCACACCAATGACAGAGACATTGACTCTGGGCCAAAGCACCACCCATTATTGTATAATTTTATAAATAAATGTGTACCTGTAAACTGGAAAAAAAATGGTGGGAAAGTTGAGTATGTGGACTGTCAAATGTGTTTAATGGATCACAGGTGATTGACAGCTGCTCTAAATCTTTTTAAATCACACAGTCAACACCAGAGAAAGTGGGTCATGCAGCAGCGGCGGAGCATATTTTTCAAATTGAACACAATTGTTCTCTCCGCCAACTTCTCAGATCTGACTGACTTATGGCACCTTGATCACCTGTTAACCTACTTACTGTTACTGTTTGACCTGCATTTTAACAGTAATTGTAGTCACATATAATTATCATTAGCAGCCTTGATAAAAGGAAATCAACTTCAGCGCGCCATGACCTGGATCTGTACTGTTGTTGTTGTTACATAATAATTGTGAAAATATTTACCACATTGTCTGATGCAGTAATAGTCTGACACAAAAAGAGCGAAAAGACACACACTTATGTAATACTGACTAGAGATCTAAGGTACAAATACAGTGGGACCTCAAGATACGAGCATAATCCGTTCCAGGACCGAGCTCGTGACCCGAGGTGTTCGTATTGTGAATTGTTTTTTCCACATAAGAAATAACAGAAAAAAAATGAATCTGTTAATAGAATCTGCTCATAACAATGGAAAAAATGGGGTTTTTCCATTGTTATAGAGACACACACACACAAAATTATATTATATAAGGATTCCTGTGGTATAAAGTAAAATGTGATTTTAATGATGAGTTCTTACTGTCGAGAAAGAGGATACAGTAGCGGCATGTGCGTATGTACGACACTTGATTCTGTAGCGTACCTTACAGGTACACTACGTAACTTACATAAACTTAGAATTAACTTAACTTAGCTTACATTTTTTTTTTTTTTACTTTTCTATTTTTTTTGCATTTGCAATTTTTGATTTGTATTCTTTCTTCAGCGGGCAGCACGCTCATATTTATCGACAACTTCCTGCTTTATTTCCGTGGTCATCAAGCGCACACTCACTTTCTTAATAATGCACAAAATAGAAAGAAAATCACGATAATGCACAACATAGAAAGAAAATCACGTAGATAGCGCTACGTACGGAAGCGATGCCTACGGAAGTCGCAGCACGCGTAAAGTGAACGAGTGAGGCAGCGTGGGCTGCTCCGAGTGCTGGGCCACCTAGCGTCGCCGTCTGTAAGCATGCTCGTATCTTTAATCTTTACTCGTACCGCGAAGCAAACATTTGCTCGAAGGCTTGCTTGTATCTCGGAATACTCGTTTTCCACTGTATTAAAAATGAATAAATATTTCCCAATAACACCACCCACTCTGTCTGATGCTATATTTAGCGAGTGTATGAAGTGAAGCTGCAGCAGCTCAGGTCTATCAGTGAGGGACTAATGGAGGGGCAGAATGTCAGAGTGGGAGGTGAAACTCCTCCGTTTGTTGGTGATAAAAGCACATGTGACGGTGAGTGTTCATGATTTACACAGATGTTTAGACAGGCTCCACTGAGAGTGGAACGGAAGATAGTTAGAGGTCAGAGGTCAAGCTGTTACACCAACTCGGGCCACAATGTCTCACGCGGTCTCACACTAAAATAGGAGCAGAGTAACAGCGTTCATGAACAAAGTCATTGTTCGAACCTTTTGTTATGCAACTATCCTTTAATAGAAGCAGTGATCAAAGGCTACCAGGAAGCCTATGATTCAACCATAATTGACTCCTCATACAGTAAGTGCTCCATTCTCCTCCCTCTATGACGTTCACCGGCCGGTCCCGTGTAATGCAATCTGCATCACCAGTGACCCCACCCATCCTTCACACAGCTACATTACGCAGGTTGCTGCCATATGGTGCTGACACTGGAGCCCTGAGGACTGGCCAGCACCCATCAGACTTCCAGGAACCGGGTCTATATCACTGTTCAGTCATTCACTTCAAATGAAAATAGACAAAACGGCATACTGACAACACACATTATATAGAGAAAAGTCTTTAGTGGAAATCACTGTCTTATTCCATAGATGTTCCAGTAAAGTTGGATCTGTGTTCAAAGGAAGTCATTTAGTGAGATTTAAAACATTTCATATTTACTGTCTGTACGTTTTGTGGCTGTGTTTCCCGGAGGATATTATTATTACAATAGATTGATTCCTTAACAAAGGACAGGGTGTTACATAATAACACGGTTCAAGATGACAAAACAAAAACAAAGCTGAACAGTTTCCTGATCTGCAGGATTTCTAGCAGGAACTTTTCTTTTCTAAAGGTGACTGTCATTTACAGCCTCTTCCTGTTGCATTTCCTCTTGTAATGTTTCGTAACTGACAACGTTGTTGAGTGTGCCGGATATTTGTATTTAATTATTTTTCCTCTCCATCGTAACTTACACTAATTCTCCTCCTTTCCACCTGCGCTCTGCGCGGCTGAACAACAACGTCTGCTTCCACAGACGGAACTCAACCCACCACAGATTACATTGACAGAACATAAAACTGATTCCCTTTCATTTAGCGAAGGACAAGATTCAGGGACATTGAGCTCTGTGCATTGAGACTAACATGGTAATAAATGTGATTAATGGGGAAGGACAAAGGAAGTCCCATCAAATGAAGGCTACAGATGTGGCGACTTATAGAAAGAGCAGATGAAATGTTAAAAGATCATTTTTTTAGGTAGGCCTAATTCATTTTGTGTGTCAGAAAACAGCTTCTTTATGGAATATTTCTTCATGTTCCCTCCTCTACATGTTAGTTAATTATTTGTTTACTTGTTGGTAATTATTCCCTAATTCATGTATCTTCCAGATTTATTTTAATTAATTAAAAACAGTATACATATATATTTAAACGTGTCCACACTGTTCTGTTATTAACAATACATACGGTATGTACTAACAGGCAGATGTCAAAGGAATGTGGTCCAGATAAATAGGTCACACAACAGGTATCCTTCGGGGAGGAAATGCCATTTGCTATCATAATGATGTTAGGTCACCATGGCAACAATTTGCGTCGTTTCGTGGTGTCCTGTTATCTCTATGGAAACTGTCTCCAGCTTGTTTTCAGCCGGAGACGGGGGTGAAGATGACGGGCTCACGTACAACACCAGGACACGCGCACACGCGGGAGACAAGGGTGTGGCACGATGCTTCAACCACAGCCCGACTCTTCCCGCCATAAAGCCATAAAACACGAAGTTTGTTTCGTAAAATAAAGCAGGGAGGCGGTTATTTAAGTAGCTTTTGCAACAAGTGAGCGACCAGCAAGGCGCGCTGACGTCAACGCACATGCTGTGTTTACGAATGCGAATCAGATTGACATGGATCACGCTGTAATTCAACAGGAAAACAACAAAAAACGACAACAAATGACATGTGCGCAATAATCCGCGCACGCACCTCAACCTGGAAACACGTCCATCATCCGTCTCGTGATTTTCCGTACAACAGCTGACCATAACAACCGTGACTAAACACAACAACTTTGACCAAACCAACCGGATGCGCTTTTTTTTTCTTTCTTTCTTTTTCTAGTACTGTCGTGCAAATGTAATGAAACTACCAGTCGGTACGTGATGGTTGTTGGCATCGTCGTAAAAAAGAACACACCTTCATTTGAAAATAAACATCTACCATAGGAACATCTCTGTGAATACATTTGATTGATTATACCATCAATAAATTGTGTTATCAAGACATTGACGTGGAAAAAAAATCAAAGTTATTTTGCTTAAAAAGGCCAATTCTGGCACTATAATAATAACAGTAATAATAGTAACTTACCTCAGGTTTTCCAAATAATTATTCTCTCTCAACAATCACTCAGGTTGTCTCAGAAGCTGCCTGTTTCTTCTGTTTTCATTTGTCACACTGTGCAGACACACACACACCTTTCTCGTGACGTGATGGATAAGTGTGTGTGTGTGTGTGTGTGTGTCTCCTGGGCTGACTGTCTGTTCGGGGGTCTGGTGCTTCGCCGTAGCTCCCGCTGTTCCACTAATCCTTCATGCGTTTCTCTGGAGTCAAGGCGGCAGACAGTCACTTTCGAAGTGCCCTCCTATTGTGTGCGTTATGGTAAAGGCAACAAATCGGCTCACAGGTGGCTTTCACTTCGTTTATGAAACTGAAGTATGTGAAACAGGGTGACAGGTGGAGGTCTGGTAGTGATGGAGGAGGAGAGTGAGGCAGACGATGGAGAGGTGAAGATTCAGAGAGTAGGTTGATGAGTTCAAACCCCGGGCGGTTCACTGTCTACGAAAGAGGTGTAGACAAGGGTGGAGTCAGGATGGAGTAGGCGGAGAACAGCATCAGGCACGGATGGACTTCACGGGACGTTAAGCAGATTGAATAGTGAAAGAAAAGCGCAAAGAAGAAATGTGAAAATTATTTTATTTAAATTATTTATTATCAAATATAAATTCTCTGTAATATAACAGAACTTCATTAAAATTAGAATTTTTATAAATAAATAAAGTTTTAGATACACACAAAAAAAAAACCGGAAACCTGTCTTTGGGCAGTTTCAACGTTTTTTACCTTAAACCGTATAATAAAGGTGCACAGCACATTTAGTGTCACCTGGTTCAACAGCAGTTTGACCAGTTTTTCACTGAAGCTTCCCTTGTCTCCTCCTATCTGTACACGCACCTCTCTCTAATAGGTTGAAAATACACTAACACGCAGTACTGCATTTACGCAGTACTTACATTTACTTCTACTTTTGTCCAATTCTATCTCTGTTAGTTTCTATTCTTAAAATCAGAGGTTTTGGAATGACATAACAAAGGTTCTGTAAACTCTCCTGATTTTAAAATTCTTTAAAACTGATTTAATTTCCTTAATTTATCAAACACAATTGAGCCATACTTCAGTTATAGTTCGACATTTTATTTTTGTTCAAAATCTCCAAAAAAGTACAACATTCTGATGGACATCATGTCCAGCCCACGACAAATATAATACAGTATGTACAGGTTCATATACAGTGTAACAGGTATTTTAGATATTTTCACAGTGTGAGAACATGAGGTGACTTAGGAGCACAATCAAGTGTCCTAATGATCAAGGGGCGGGGTTTAGGGTCACACAAACATTCATATGTGCTATACAAAGTGCCCTTTTTAAAATAATAATAATAATAATAATATGGCTAAAAAAACCCTGAGATGTGCACCTAAGAGCAACACACACCTCCGCAAACACACTTCATTTACAATGAACTCATCTACAATCATTCATCTGAGGACATTACAGTAGAAAGGACGGCTGCGCTGGTGCAGGAGGAGAGCAGCCAGCCGTCTCCAAGGCCCATTGCATGTACCGAGAGTAAACACTGGCATCATGTACACCACCAGCGGCAGAAACTGAGGCAAAAAACCTCAAGTCAGTGCATGAACCATTGCATATTAGTAATCAAGTCAGATAGTTTACAGTCACTACCCGTGTGTGTATTACAGTGAGACAGGGGACAGCGTATGGAGACGATAGAGACAAAGACTCAAGTTCCTTGTTGGACATGTGCAAACGCCGCTGCTGCTGTGTTCCCTCGACTTCATCTCACCAGAGTTTTCCTTCATCAGTTCATGTCTGTCTCTGGGGGACAGATTTGTCCGTCTTTCTTCGACGACTTTAAAGTGCAGGGTTCCTCGGTGACGGGCTCCACACCGCCACCCGCAGGAGAAAGGGATTTCACAGTGCCTCTTGCTGTAGGAGACAGAGAGAGATGGATGTAAATATTATTTATACAACATGTGAAAGGTTTTTATTGGTACAAAACTCTACTATCTTTATATCCACACAATACTGTGAACCAGGAATAAATGCGAGATGGAGATAAAAATACATTTACTCGACATATTCTTACCTGCATCTTGCTGTAGACCCAGGGCATTACACTCCTGACGTCAGTATAAACACCAGGCTTGTTTCTTTCTCCACATCCGGACCCCCAACTCGTGATCCCCACCAGGTACCAGTGATTGTCTGCCTCACATACCAGAGGTCCACCACTGTCGCCCTGGAACATGTAAGTCACATGATAAGTCTCCGATCCTAAATAACTTAAGATCTCAAACAACGAAAGAATGTCTTCTAATCATTGTCCGCTCACCTGACAGGAATCTTTGCCGCCGTCCAGGTCTCCAGCACAGATCATATTTTTGCTCACGCTGCCTCCGTACACACGGGCGCCGTTACACACTTGCCTGTCAATGATGTCCACAGCCACGTCCATCAGACTTTGAGAGACGAGCCCTAAAAAAGGAACAATCGGTTTATTAACATGACTAATGTTACGTTAAATAATCTTTTCTTCCTCTTAACTTCACGGTGTTTCAACTTACCTGATCCTGCATCAGTGGTGCCAAAACCTGAGGTCCAGCATTTGGTGTTTTGGGGAAATGTCTGTCCTGTGGTCGGCATACATACAGGCTGGACTTTATCTGGATGAAAACAGAAGAGAGCGCATTGTTAAAAGACCAGCAACACATACACAGAACTTCATATCCAATAATTCCACTGTCCACCCACTTATGCTGTAAAACACAGCTTAACACAACTTAAAGTATCAACCCAATGTGTATTATGTTTTTATGGAGTTTTCAACTTCAGGTGAGACGCTGGGTTTGCTTCAGACCAGCCTCACTGATCACAGTTCACTCCATGAAGCTAACCTTCAAGTTCTACTACTGACAGCACTAACAAATAAAATATATTTTTTTAAAAAACAGCAATATATTTCTATTGACTGACCATTGAAAGTAACTGGAGAGGCCAGTTTGAGCAGAGCGATGTCGTGGTCGTTGGTTTTGTTGTTGTAGCGCTCGCTTATCAGAATCTTCTTCACCCGAAAAGGTGTGGGTAGTAAACTCAAGGAGACTAAACCCCCGTACACCTTCCACAGCTGTGGGGCCAAAAATCCTGGGTTGCTGCTGCAACACAGAAAAGGAAGAAACATTGAATCGAGAGCAGTTGAATGAAAAATAATCCATAATTCAGGAGGGAAGAAGACAGGGTGGGGGGGTGGGGGGCTACAATGGTGCCTGTTAGTGTGGCCCACCTTGGGAAGCAGTGGGCAGCGGTCAGTACATAATCAGGAGAGATGAGAACTCCACCACAGACGTGGGATCCTCTGAAGTGGAGCGACATCTGCCAGGGCCACTGACCGCTCTTAGCTGCAGTCCCTCCGATGATCCTGGACGTAGACTGCTGTCTACCACAGTCTGGAACAAACAACAGACAGCGTAGCCCATGTTAATGGAACATGCAGCTGTTCAGTATTGCTATTGTTGTTGTATTTGTTGGGTAGTCATGTAGAGAGAGGGTGAGAAGGAGGTACACAAAAGGAAAGGAGAGGAGACGCAGGGCGGTTAGGTGTAAGTGACAGTGCGAACAGATGGCTCCTTACCCACACACTGCAGGGAGACATACTTCTGGTTTGGACAGGAAGCACTGTGAATGCAAAACAGGAGGCATGTTTATTGGCTGGGGTGCATGAGCTACTGCAGCACTTTATTGTCCTTCAATCCAATTATATATAATTACACTGGATCATATGATGCAGACTGATATATAACACAATCAGACTGTGTATCAAATAAGAATAGTTGGGATTCGTTCCTACCTGACTTTCACCTGACCCTGGATGGGCTGAGATGACGGGCCAGTCACCAGTAAACCACGAGAGTCCTCGGACTGGAGCTCTTTGGTGGAGAAGGACCTGCAGGTTGAAGCGAGGAGAGGTTGGAAAAAGGGTGTTTTGAACATTGGCAGAACACAGCGCTCAGGAAACTAATTCTGGCCCTGACACACAGAGATAATCTACAGTGGCATGTGGAGAATCAATGCATCCTTCCATTTAGAGCAGCAGGTGACGGAGTGGGGAAATCAACGGTGGCAGACTGAACACTGGGTTTCTACGTACTGCTACAAAAACTGTCAAATGTACTCTAAGATGGAGATTTGAGGTTGTTTACTTTGTAAAGCCGAGCTGAGTGCAGGTCTTCTCGGTGTACTGCTGGTCCCAGCCTTCGTAGCACACGGGAAGGAAGCGACTGTCATGAGATGTTCTGATCTGCAGTGTGTTGTCCTGGCCAAACCTCACTGAGGAGACAAGAAGACACACTTTTAGAGAAAATCAGTGTTAAGGTGAAATGGAATATTTTTCCCCCCTAAAGGTGAAGTATTTGTATTTGAATGCTGTTTGAATAAAAGGAGTGGTACTTTGGTGTGGTTACCACACCCAGTGGTGAGACTGTGAGTAGTTTCGTTGTACTCACCACAGTTGGTTTCATCAGTGCCCAGTTGACAGTCCTTTATCCCATCACAATAGACAGTGCTGTTGGGGCAGGTGTCGGTGCTTGGTGAAGGATCGTCATCGATGTAATACTCCTCGTTATGGTAGATGATCGCCGTCGTTACCATTGTGGTGCCGAAGCGAACTGTTATTGGGAGAAAGGATGTGGTTGAGTGGAAGGTTTCAGTGACGATTGGAAATGACAACATATGTATTAGAATCTATTGACTAAACACCTTACACATTAACAAAACTAAAAATGAATTTCAATATTTGAAAATCACTCTACCTCCAATCCAGATGGCCAGTGCCAGCAGAGCCAGCACCAGGACGACACCCCCTGAGCCTCCTAAACACTGGGCATTCTTCTGACACAACTTCCTCTTCTGTCTGCTGGGGGCTAAAAAAAACATACAAAAACATTAACCATTTAACATTAACCACAGTCTAATTTTTTGTCTAATAATTTGAGCCAAGAACTGACCTGGCTCTGGGACCTGAGCAACAATCACTGGTTCTGGATATCGAGGTATATAATATGGTTGGGATGGGGGCGCCAGGTCTGCGCCCGTTCCATATGCTACTTCATCGTAGGACTTGAGGGAGGGCAGGGAGTGCACAACAACAGTGTTGTATGGAGGTGGAGCGTCGTTCTGAAAAAAAAAGGTCAATATTTATGACATTTATCAGCGTACAGACAACCTGCTGTGTTTAACAGCACACTCGCTGATTTGTATGAAATCCATGGTTACGCAGACAAACGACAGGAGGGCAAATAAACCGGTGGTCCTGGTTGCCAAGGTTGATCACGTAGGCTATTGTCCTCTCCGACAATCCTAACACCGCTATCAAGAGAGTGTTCACACCAGGGATACAAAATGACAGACAATGACACAGGCATCGTCACCTGTGGCAACTGTGCCGAGAAGATCATGTTTTAAAAGTTTGCTTCCTCATCCTACGTAGGCCTTTTATCCCGCGACCTGTTTTGGTTCAGATTTCCCAGAAGCCACCCTGGCTTTTTTCAAACAAAGCACTAAGCAGGGTAGTGACAGGGCAGTTTACAAATTGGGCAGTTAACTAAAACGCTTTGATCAGATCACAGCGAACGCACCGTCAGAAAACAAACTGGTCGGCCTCGGGAACGCGGAAATAAACGATGAAGTTACTTGGAATTTACCAGAACTTTTCCTTTGTTCCAGAGTCTGCAATAAAACAGGAACAGCCAGTGATTTTGCTGGTTAAACATTGTGTCTCTCTTCAAACTGGAAGAACAAGAGTTCTTTTTGTTTTGTTTAAGTTCTACAATGTGTGCTGCAATGTGACTGAGCCTGTTTGGGCACAAACTTGTCTGTGGAGCGTCACCTTCAACACACCTGACAAACAATTTGGTGCTTTTTGTTTCACTGAGCTATGAAAAGAAAAGTACACCTTGACCTTTTAATTTAAATTGACTCGGATTAAAACCTACAGAGTTCCTGGAATTCATTTTCACCTGTACAACTGGGGTTAGGGGGCAGAATATCTATGAACAGAATTTATCAGATGTAAGAAAACCTTCACACGGTGAAATCCTCATAGATCACTATTACAACATTTCGGTTCTAGCGCCACCTCAGCCAAAACATTTTGGAATTCTGATGCCATCCTGTAATGGATCTGTTGACATGTTACCCAGAGAACAAACCAAACAATGTCCAAATAAAAATAATATTTCAATGATACCTTGTCAGATTGAGTGTGCAGAATTTAAATATTTATCTGCACCATGTTTCGTCATCTTTTAATATATAATATTAATATTTTTTTTTCTTTTTAAAAATCTGCTCAGTAGGTAGTAACAGTAAGTTTCAGTAACAGTAATTTTCCAGGGTCACACTGACAATGGGACCACCGACAGTCTTATTGTCAGTGCGACCCTGGAAAAGTTTCCAGAGGTCATTTCATTGGTTCAATTCTTGTACGTGGTGTTCAAGTTTCAGAATACGCCCATGGGCAGCAAACGCCCTACATAATTACAGTAAAATGGCCAGCGAGTGAAAAAAAAAAATGGAGGAGCAGGTTGATCGTGTTTCACTTTAGACCGGATCATCTTTCTAACGTTGCCTTTTGACCATTGTAATGGAGAAATACTGACAGAATGGACATGTTAGAGGCTCCTGTGACTTAAAGAAATATTTGTTAAACTACACCAATCACAATTACAATACAATGTCACAGAGACGCCCCGAGTGAAATTGTCAACTTGTATTATATTTAATTTACCTTTTTAAAACATAATCATGACTCGATAATTTTTACATTCTTCTATTAAAATAATCCCAAAAGGCAGCTTTGCCTCAGGAAGTCCCTTATCTTTGAATTAGAATCAGTGTTAGCTTTTTGTGGTATTAGTAATATTTTATTATCAAATTATATTTAAAACATGTTATACTTTAGGGTTTACATAGTTCTCTCAGGTTACTAGTCTTAACTTAGAATCCAATTAGTTTTGACTTATAGTACATACACATTGTACTATATTCAATCAGTTTATTACAGATATATAAACAATTTCAACACAAAATGACTTCTTTATAACTCGAACACTAGGGGGCGCACCAATGAAGCAGAAACCTAATCTGCTGGACACAGGAACATGGAGACAAATGTCCACCCAGGCCTCTGTGTGCTTTTTTTCACTGGAGATGATGTTAATATATTTTAATACACTAACTTTCATTCAAATTCCCTCCGTATTTGCTGGCGTGTAGTGTTGCATCACACAGGAATTCACACTGCACCGATACTCAAACAGAGAAACCAAACAGATGACAGAGAGATCATGACACCTGCAGAAGTTTGTACGGAGTTTTGGGAGATATTTAAAGTGAAAAAAAAAGAACACAAGAAGAAGACGAGAATGAGAACAACAACTTACCAGTTCCTGCTTCGCCATCGGAACAGCAGAGAGTGGGAGTGAAGAGTGGACTGGAGGTCACGTATTCACAAGCAGATGTTTACCCTGTCACGGAGCAGTGGTCTGAGTCTGCTGATGTCACTGGTTGCTGTGACTGTTCTGGTTCTCTTCTTCTTCTTCTTGTCTGTTTTCTACCTGTATTTGTCACTGAGCCTCATATGAAGAACAACAGGTATATATATCCCTTCCCCGTGACTCCTTAACACCTCCTACTGGGCCTCCATCGTCCTCCTGATCCCTCATTCTTTTCATCACACAGCCGGGTGTGACTGCTGCACCAGTTTCTCACCTGCCAGACCGGTTTCATAGAATCACCGAGGACTATTGAGCTGCTCATTTCTCCAGTGCTGTGACTCCGGTAACCAGCTGACTGGTCAGAAATCTGAACTCATAGATTACAGGAAGAAGTTTCAAATTCTGAAAGAGGAAATGTCTGAGCATTAAATATGTTCATGTGTGTTCAAATTGAACTGAAGATTGTCTATTTTTTAATTCACAATTTAAAATGGTTAAACTAGTTTGGTTGAAGGAAAGATTCATGAATGTGTGTATAACATCTATATAGCACAGGTCTACAGTAGCCCAGGTACGGAATATGAAAAAGATGATTAACTCCTGAAAGGATTACCATCCTATTGATTAACATCAAAGCCACTAGTCAAACAGCACTACTGTTGTACCTCAAATGCAAAACATCAAATTCTTATCATGCCACTAGAGGCAGCCCATGTTCCCCCGGTGGTAAGCATACCATAGTTTGAGAACCTCAATAGACTAACATTTTATCATCATTTCACTCATCATGACTGAACAGATATTACCAACCTGATCAGGCCGGTGTGGGCCAATAATGCCAGGGTGGGCTTTCTGCCACTGTGTGTAGGTCATAGGTCATCATTGATGCACCTCACTGTACTATTCTGTTCAATAAAGAAATCAAATCAATCAATCAATAGGTTATACAAAAATGTGCAAATAAAATGTGCTCAATTTAACAGATTTTAGAGCATGATGTCGATGAAAGAAAAGACAAACACAGATGTACATTACAACTACAAGCAGCAGAAAGTTAGTAGACAAACAGCTGGAATGTTCAGGGCAACATGTGCTTGAGAACGAGTTTGGTGGCATGTTTTTCTTTTGATGAAGATTTCTGAGCCATGACATGTGAACAGGCAGGCTGTTTTAGAAGTACAGAATGAACTGTTTTCACTTCAAGTTTACAGTGAAAGCCAAACCAACTCTTCCCCTTTTATACTTTTATACCTATCATGTGAAAATGATGGCTCAGTAAAGTTGTCCACTGTCATAATTGTGCATTTGTTACAGATGGGACCTTATATTTCAGTATAGTATTTTATTTTAGTTTTTTGCACATTGCATTGAATAAAAACATTATTAATTAAATAAAACAAGTTAATTGACGAAATAAAATGGTTTTGTGAGTACATTTAAGCTTATGGTGGGTAAAAGACGTGGGAGATGTTTTACTTCAAATTTAAAACAAGCTCCCAAATACATTGTGCGGTTTCAAGCACCACCTCGTGGTAAAATTGTATACGGCAATAATCCCTATCTAACGTTTAGACTACACACACAAAAACATTATATACATTTTATATTTCCTATTTAGGCAATGTTTTTTATATTAATGTAATGTTTCATATTTATTTTTACAATACGTTTATTTTCAAATAAAAGAAATAATGTAGTTAAAATTAATTAATACAAATTACGCTAGTTTATTCACTGTGGGCCAAACTGAACTAATGATAACCAAAAATAAAATTATCAAGGCATATATGCTCCTGAAATATACTATATATATATTTTTATAATGTATGTTTTGCTACATAAAAAGACTTGTATTTGAGGATTTACAGTAGTACAAAAGTCAGACTAGGCATAGCTAACCCTGTTAGCCTCCTGAAAGTTCAGCTTCTCTGGCCTGTTGGGTGAGATTATGGGTGAGATTATTGATTGTAGTGCTTTTTGCGGGAAATATTTTGTATGCTTCCCATTCAAATTGAAGAGAGAGAAAAATATATCAATTTATTGATATTGTGAAGTGCACCAATGTGTGCTCATATTTGTTGATTAACAGATATTAATGATAAAGGTCAAAAGTAATACTTTGGATTAATCGTGATTAGCAATAGCATAGCACTTCTGCGAGTTTTCTGTTTTTTAATTATTATTTTTTTAAACAACTAAACATGCATTTTCGTCACAGTTTAATGGAAGTACTCCAGCGATCACATTGTGTTCTAATTACATTTACCTCGTTCTCCACAAGAGGGTAATATAATGTTAAGTTTCCATCTCTTGTCACAGGGAGTTCCCAATAACACAAAAGACTGTTGGGTAAATTCCCTAATTGTGACTTCTGAGGACGGAAAAAGAAAGGACAATTTCACGTCGACCTCTGACATCGATACAGCCGTTCTCTGCCTGTCCACGAGACAGAAACCAAATTGTTGATACTCACGAACACATATGTGGAAGTAAAACTAATAAGTCAGCAGAAGAAGAAGTGCGAAAAACAAAGGAAAATTAAGATAAGAAACCATTTGGCTATAATGAGCTGCTTTCTCAGAACTAGATTGTGTTTTCAGTTGAAGAGAGAGACAGATAATTCCCCATAAACTATTCATTCTATATGTTCTAACGATCTAAGGCGTTACCAAAGTTATTCAGTGTGAAATACCAAGTATCATTATCTGCACTGTAATGAACATTTTGTATGCTGGCTGAACACAAACCAAACTACTTTAATCGCAGAAAGCAGTACTTCAGAGCTTGTTTGATGTCTTCAAGTATATTTTGTGTATATTAGAAATAGTCAAATGTTTTCCACAATGTCTTAATGTGCTTGATGTCCTAGAGACTTACCATGTGATAAATGACTGACTGATGAGCCAGTGATAGCTGATAAGTTCCAGACGTCATGAAGTCAACGTAGGCTGTTTGTCAGGACTTAGTTGTAAGACACTCATTTCACCGTTTAATCATCGCCTCTGTAGAAATGAGTTGACAAGCGATAAGATGAATAGAGTTAGAAATGTGAGGTAAAGGGAAAGAAAAAGAAGAGTTTGTAGTCATCATTCTGCGTTTTCGAGAGATCTTTCTTAGAGATCTTATGTTCAGTGAGAGCTGCCTGTGCGTAGATGTGTTCTTGTGGTTTTATGCAGGGTGCCACTGTTTTATTATATTGATAGTTTAACTGGCTTTAGAATTTTCTTTTGGTTTTAAGAAAGGGTTTTTTTTACCAATATTTTAAACCACGTGTCAAACTCAAGGCCTGTGGGCCAAATGCGGCCCGGCAAGTCCTTTTGTGTGGCCCACAGGATATTAAAAAAAATTACCTTATGACAAAATCCATGCTGCTGAGTTTCTGAACCTGATAAATTAAAAAGATTTTTTTATTGCACAGAGCAATGTATTCTTTTTATTCATTTAAGTTTAACATTTGTGTTTGATTCAAAATGTATGTTGGGTTTAATAATTCATATATAAGGTTAAATTATTTAAATTCACATTCAGAAAACTGAATATCTAAAAGAGACAGAATTTTTATTCTGTTTGTTGTTGTTGTTGTTTGTTTGTTTTTTCTCACAAATGAATGGAGTTTGCTGAATGTTCAACTTTTGCTTTTTATTAACCCTTGCTTAGCGGCAGTGTTTTTGTTCCCTTGTTGCGGCCTTTGTTACTTATCTGTAAATATTACCTTAGTGGAAATGTGGAAAGAGGAAATGATCTGGTGAGAGAAAGAGACGAAACGTCACAACAGGAAACGTGTCATAGCGGAGGGAGGTATTTGGGGAAAACTATGTAAAAACATCTGAAGGGAAACGAGCCTTTATTCTTCTGTCAGTCGGGGAGTCAGTGAAGGAACATTTGCTCCGGCCTACTACATGTTTACAAAGAAAAGCCAGAGAAAATGTGTCCACAGTCTCATTTTCCTCATTGAAGGCAGGTCCGAGGGACTTCATCGGTGACGACTGTCTGGATTTAAGGGGATTTTAAGTCTCTTTTCGGACAACACAAATCCAAAGAAGATGAGGTCGTCTCTCCTCTTCATTCTCATCTGCGTAAACCCTCTTACAGGTAATTTAGAGAAATTTAATATACTTTTAAAAATAAAATATACTTTTTTCTCAATTGCTTTATTGACAGGATTTTTTTATGTAAAACTGTGCTAGAATGTGTTAATCATCGAGTGAGTGTGTCAATTAGGTTTGGGTTTAAATGAGATAAGATGTTATTTATGGGCGCTTTGGTGGGGGAACATGGAAATGTCTAGTTAATGTCCCTGTTTTATCCTCACTCTCTATGTTGAACTGGAAGTCCCAGAGATGTCAAAATTGCTTTTGTTTATTCACTTCCCTTTTTTAACACATCACTTCGTTGGACACATTTACAAGAATAAATGTGAGAGGGTAATTTTAGCTTGATCGACTCTGCATTAGAGAAACAATCGATAAATGAAAGGTGCAACGATTGGATATAGAGTTGCTGATCGCTTGATCGAAGGTGCAACGATTGGATATAGAGTTGCATATAGGATGTATTTATATATTTGTAATGTAGTGCACAACGGCAAAATTGTTTTTTTTTTCTGTTTAATATCTACCACCTCATCTGCATCCTGTGTTTCTCTGTCGCAGCACTGAGCATCCCTCAGCCTGAAAAACTGAACGTATCTAATGTAGAAGGGGAGGTTCTTGTATACTGGAAACAACCGGCCGACGCTCCGCTAACATCTAAATACAACGTACAAATGGCAAAGTAAGTCAAATATCAGTCATATCTGAATTTGTTTGTTTTTTTAATCAAACCGACTTCTGTCGCTGAGTCACTTTCAGCTTCATCACCTGCGCGTGTTCACTGTCCACAGGTTAACCGATAAATGGGCCAAAGTGCCGAGATGCACAGAGATCACAAACACCTACTGTGACATCAGTGGTCTCATTCATGACTACACCACTCTGTACAAGGTCAGAGTTCAGCTGGCTGCAGGAGAGCATGTTTCTCCATGGGCAGCCAGGAAAATCCCCATATATGACAGTGAGTCTTACTGTGTTACTGTCCGCAGCTGCATTTTCAGTGATTTTGTAAATATTACCTCTTAAAAACAACTCACTCCTGTCTCTTCAGGTTATCTGCTGCCACCATCTTTCACTTTGTTAGCAACGTCCAACTCACTGTCAGTGCACGTTCACGAAAAACCCATTTTGAAGAAGATCTTCTCTTTCGGCCTCACCTACACCATCTACTTGAAGGAGCCCGAAACGGAAAAGGTGGGTAAAGAAACACACGTCGACACATGCAGTAACACGTCCTTCCTTTGTTTAACCTGTTTTTGGATTCCTACCTGGCAGGTCACCACAGCATATCTGGAGGACGAGGTGGAGGAGGATCAGAGGCGCAAGACTTTCACTTCTCTCCAATGGGGAAAACAGTACTGCGTCAGCATGACAGTAGAGGGCAACGGAGGTATCTTAACAAGTGCCGTTTCTCCAAAACAGTGCCTCCTGCTGCCTGACAGAGGTGAGAACACACACACCTATGAAGGGAATAAACCATACACCCACTTTCACCAGCTGAGGCTGACATCACTTCATTGCAATATTCCTTTGAGAGTACAGACTTATGTCATTGCTGTGATACAACTTTAGTCAGTGTCACAAACATCCTGTAATCACAGCATCTGGTAATGAAAAAAACTTCAAACAACAACAACAACAACATTAACCGGTTACTGATCTTCTGTCCTTTTATCTTTCAGAGTGGTTCATGATTTCAGTCTCATCCTTCTCCATTCTGGGAGTGTTTGTGATCATAACTATCGGCGCTAACATCCTCTGGTGTTACCTGAAACGTCCAGAGAAAACACCAATTGCACTGGTGAGTGTACACAAAAAAAAAAACAAGGTTAGAATTAGAAAGAGAAAACAAAACTGAACCTATGGAAACACAAGTGAGAAGTGAGCCGGACAGTCTTCATTGTCTCTAATTTCATCTCTTTTAGAAATCCCCGGCATGTTACTGGCAGCCCTTGTGTGTGGAAGAAGGCATCATGGAGACTGTCACAGATAAAGGATGGTTCCTGTCCAATCACAGAGCAGAAGTGAAAGACTGCATTCACACACCCGTGACTCAAACTACATTGAACAATGCCACCGAAGAGGAAGACAGGAGGACCAGCATGGACAGCGGCGTCAGCATTGAGACCAGCTCTCCAACCAACGACAGGGGAAGTTCAGGGATGAAGCAGGAGGACAGTGGCTTTGGCAGCATCGGCGTCCCAGAGGGCTTCACCTGCAGTAAGACGGATTATCCACTGGAGAAAGAAAAGGCTGCTGCTGCTGCGGTGGAGGAGTTCAGGAAAAGGCAGGACAGCGGACTGGGATTGAGCTGCCAGACGGATCTGGACCAACTCCACACCAGGCTTCTGAAAGACTCCGTCCCCAGCGTCAACTATCGGACCCAGCGTCCTCCTGACGTGCAGATCCATGTCCCTGATGAAGAGGAGGAGTTCAAACAGAAAAGCCTGGGCACCGTGCTGGCCGACGTGGTCACGGGCTACAGAGCTGGTCCTCGAACGTGCATCTGTTCAGGAGCGGGTCAGTGCACGTGGTGCCTCACACAGGGTCAGGCTCAGGGTCAGGGTCAGCGTGGGTCTGAAGCCGTGTCTGTAGAGAATGGACTGCTAAGGGGAACGTGTGACGTTCCAGACATTTGCAAAGAAGGGAGGACATTTTTAAGCTGTTATAAAAAAGCACAAATTGACACTGTGACCATAGACACTTTACAAAACTCCTTCACTCAAGGACTCCAGGACACATTTCCTCTGCTGAAGACCGTGCAGTCGCTGTCTCTGCTGGACGTGGCACATGACCTAAACATGAACCACATGACTCTCTCTCTGAGTGACGTCCAAGTGGAAACTGACTGATGCAAAACAAGTCATTGTGACTGTAACTGACAGGCACACACAATGGACAAATACATTTCATGTTACTTGTACTTCAGGTAAAAGGCAGCATTTAAAGGTACAGTGTGTAGATCAGGGGTCACCGACCTTTCTGAAACTGTGAGCTACTAGAAGGGGCACTCCAGAGCTACTGGTTTGATACAGACTTCCCCAAATAATAATAATAATAACAATAATAATATGTTCTGGGACATACAACAGTACACACTCTTCTTACCATCATTACTGCATATATTTGAATATCACTGCAAGTGGAACTGATTCCAAAAGTACAGTAACAGTACAATTGTTGACCCTCTTACTGACTACCTTTGTTTTTAGAACATATTCCAAGGGCACCTTAGGTACTCAACGGGTGGTACCAGGTGACCCCGGGCACCATGTTGGTGACCCCTGGTGTAGACTTGGTGGAGAGTAGAAAACACAGGGAGCAGTGATGTATTACATAAACAGATGTGAATCATGGCTGTCAAATAAGTGTCTTTTTAAAAAAAAAACATCAGCTAGAATATTTGTGGCTGCAGTGTTTTCACATTAGACACTCTGTAATGGACTCATTTATAATAATGTTTATTTTTGTAATAAAGTCCCAACTCAAACTCATAAATATTTTAAATCCCATTTGACTCTACAGTTCAATCCCAGGCACTGTGCCTTTAAACCTATAAAGCTATCTGTAACATATTTGCTACACAACAAGTCAGTTCCAAAAATATTTAACATACTGGGGGCTTTCTGTGACAGAATCTGAACAGGGTTAAATTTCTATTTTGTAAGTGATAAGCTGAACAGGTTCCAGCTGGTTGGTGTCAGTGTGAATCATATGGGTTTTACACAGAAAGTCTAGAATGTCAGAGACCTTATGTAACCTGCTGTTTTTAGAGATTCAATTCTCAGCTAACGTTGAGAAGCTGCAGGCCGGAAGTGAAACCCCGTGTGGGGGAGCACACAGGGGAACAGTTTAACACTTACATGCTTTTGGATATTTTGCTGTGACACTTCTTGTCAACACTTGAATGTAACCTTTAAGACTCTGATCATTTCTCACCCTTATCGTCACGCTGCAGCTTGTTGCTGTTGTTGCACCTTTTTTTAAATAGTCTTCTACATGTGACTCTGTAGAATGTAAGTATGTAAAAAGTTAAATTATTAATAAAACAAAAATACTGACTACAGTCACTTTATCTGTTGTTGTTTTCTGACTAGTTCTGAGTAGAGTTTTTTATTCAGAGTAAATCTCCCCCAAAACTTCATTTTAGGACAAGACAAAAAAAACAACCACCTGATGTTGATGACATTTGAAACATGAAACTATGACTCAAATAAATGCTGGACAAAAACAACTAAAACAAGAAAATTCTACCCACTAGGTAAAACACTATACATCTGTCATACACCAGGGATTCCCATATGTAAATGACAGGAACTCATGAAATGGTTTTTTTATGTTGCAGTTAAACTGCAGTTAAACCAATGCTTCCTCTTACAACTTTTTGTTTTTTTTCTTTTCCCACACCAGGAAAAAGAAAAAAAGAACTGGGTCAAATCTCCATGAACACAAATAAAAGTTTAAGATAAAATACTTGCTTTATTAAAAACAGATCAACCTAACCACGTAGCATTAGATACATTCCAAAAACTATAAAGTGCAGGTCAATAGTTTCGGAATAAAAATTATTTCAAACTATCAACAAAAATACATTTAAAAAACTTACAGATCCAGGAATATATTTTAGACCTTAGATGAAATCTGTCTTCACAGCAGGCACTCCGTTTTCAACATTTTGGTTATCTTTAAAAAGATCTGAATGAAAAGAAATTTCTGATAAAATCTTCACTGCTGTTGGTAAATTTGAGTCATATCAGACCTGTGACCCTTTAGTGGCGTTTCACAAACATCAGTTAATGAAAAAAAATAAAAAAATCAGACAGAGACCTCAGTGACAAACATGTGGAGGGAAGTCTACTGCTGTTGACAAGAAAACCCTGATCTGCGGGAATGATGTGGTTGAGCTGTTGATATTCTGTGTTCACCACTGTCTGTGTGCATAAAACCAAAAAGAGTTTCACATGCTGCGTAGGTACAGAAAAACTAAAGTGATACATTTAAATACATATTTCTTATTGTTTAGGACCTAGGTTTAGACAATATACAATTACATTTGATGCAAACATTATCTTAAATACCAAAGGGTTTCTCCCTGCCTTGTCTTATTTACAGACTAATGTAGTTTAAAATGTTGGGAGAGCATGAGGGAGGAGTCTCATCACCGAGTGCAAATAGATTTTTAGAACAAACAATACACTTTAGGAACAAAAGTATCAGGCACAGTGAGGCATTGAAAACAAGGTAAGGTGTGAAGAAGAGTTGGGAAACCAAGATTTCCCCCATCATGACTGTTGCCAAATTCAACCGACACCCGGTCATTTGATGTTGCCGCTGATTGTAAACGGGGGAGGAGACTTCTTTAAACCCACCTTCCTGCCAACCAAGAGAGATCCAACCAAAGGTTTACAAAGAAAGTTTATACGGTATTAAAAACAAGCAAATCTATGAAAAGTTTTCAACTGTGACGTCTGCTTACGTGAGCACCCTGTCCTTCAGTGGAGGCTCTAAAGGAAACAAGGAAAAATAAAGATGGTGAATTATTATTTGTTATTGTGACACACAACCAAATGTGACCTCTGCTTTTAACCCATCACCACAGTCAGCAGGGCGCAGCTTTAGGCGCCCGGGGAGCAGTGTGTGGGGACGGTGCCATGCTCAGCTGGTGGACTCGAACCTGAAGCCTTCTGGACCCAAGTCCACTTCCTTAACCACTAAGCCACCACTGCCCCAGCATCAAAATTGGTGGTTCCTTCTCTTCTGTATTTATAGGGCTATGTACGGTTGGAACCCACATAATGTACATAAGTAGCTACGTCACTCACATACGTTAACACAGTGCTAACATCATAATCTAGGACATAAAAACATCAGAACAGTCTGGCTTACACCTGGCAGCCCTAATGAAGGGCAAAACAGTACCCAAAAAAAACAACACAAATGTAAGAAAGTGAACGTAGCACAGTCCAATGTATGGCGCACAACCGGCGGATGTACACAAAGCTGTGTTCTCCTTATAGCGCCACATGATGTCGTGTTCATCCACTCCCCTCACCAACTGTGGGTGGAGGACGTCGCAAACCCTGTATTTTAATTTATTTTATAAAAAAATAACACAAACAGAAACACTCACTCTTTTTCTTGAAGATGTTTTTGCACGTTTTGCATTTGTACTTGCAGCAGAACTGTACAATGCCGATGATGAAGAGAACGGCCAGGATGGAAAAACCCACGATGATCCCCACGGCTGTAGAGTTCACCTGGCTACCTGCAAATTATAGTTCACAGAAGTAATGATGAGTGTTCGCAGCATTTTTGGACACTGTTCTGACAAGGTTTCGAGAATACTTAGCAAAAACAAATCTCCTTTAGTTTGGGGCCAAGAGTGGATAATAGAACTGTAATCGTGAATGTAAGAAAAACACACAAGTCTACTGTTATGTTAAAATGATATTCTGTGCTATTATCCATCAAACCACCGATGAAACTCACTTCGTCGGTGGAAAATCACTGAAACGACCAGCCTGACCTTATGTGTGCTTGCCATTGATGGGAAATCTACTCATTATCTGTTCTTCAGTTCCTCTAAGACCTTGACAACTAAATGGTCATTCTCAGTTTCTGTTAGGCCAGATAATCTCACAGGTGGAAGTTGTACTGAGATCAACTGGCCCTCACTCATATTCTGGTACGCACACACAAATGTATCCCCACACTATAAATGTAACATGCCCTAGCTTGCAAACGGGCGCTCTCGTACAGACAGAAGTGTTTGGGTTGCTCTCTACCTAAAACATCTGATCTTGAGGGCAGTAACATCAACTTTTCTGCTTATAGCAAGAAAGCTAGTATGTTGGTGTTATATTTAAAACTGTCTTAACCTTGACTTTTATGTTTGTTTTAAAGCTATCTGCTTAAAATGATGTCACAAAGTTAGGCTTAACTCAGTCCATTAGAGGGAGCCATTGCAAATAGACTAAAATCCTCATGTGACCTGGAGCCACAGGTTGCAGACCGCTGCCCTGACCCCTGACAAAGTTAGCACAGTATTTTTGAAACACGCCTTTTAAAGCTGTGGTTATATACAAAAAATGATTCTTATAAAAAATATAAATATAATAATGTTAGAAATAGTTGCTTTAGGAATGTAAAAGTCAGTTGAAGTCAGGTGAGCGCCTGTACAGATGTTTCAGTAATACAGGATGGATTTTGGTGTCCAGCCTGAAAGAAGACCTCAGCACATTTATACATACATACATATTTAACGTTTATCCTAACATTATCACACTGCTACTCTCATTTCCTTTTTTCAGCTTCTGTTGCGGTTTAACTTCTGTAGAAAACAGCAAAAGTAGCTCTTCTGAGAAGAGTTTATTCTTTATATGAGATGGACTGATGTTATCAGTATTACGTGTACAATAATGGCACAGAAAAACCTCTAAAGTAAGTTCAGGTTTTAGAAGCTTTTACCACCACCACCACCACCACCACCACCACCACTACAAGATTGAAGACTCTTACCACTGTTCCCCATGGCTGATAAAAGAGTTATCAAACAGGTGGCTTTTCTGTTGGTTTCCTCCTCTTCTTCTTCCTGTGTGACTTACACAGGCGTTTCTTCAACCCCTGTTTATTAAATACTGATCAAGATTAATCGTTAAAACATCAATATTTAAAATCAAAGCTCTGCTTCTGACTCCTTTGCTTACGTCTGTGTCTGCTCATGTCCCCATACCAGTCATACCTAAAACTGGTTTCTCCTCTTCCTTTATCCTGCCTCCATTCTGCCCTTCCTCCATTAGAAACCAACTGGGCCCGGCTGTGTGTAGCAGCTGCCACTGTTTTAAACTGCTCATTAATTACTGCGATACTTCACAGCAGACATCCCACGCTTTGACATTATGGTCACATTCAAATGAAACGGGACAGAAAAGCAGGAAATTAACTGTAATTCAGCGTCTTTAACCAACGTGTTCTTCACCAATGTTTACAAAACGGCGCCAACGTCAGGTCTTGTTTCCGGTGTTGGTTTTTAGATGAGATATTCAGCTGTTTCGATTGGTGTTTAGAGACTCCTGCTGGCTGACTGGAGTCATTACATAACTCAGGACCCGCAGGTGATTATTATTATTATTATTATTATTATTATTATTATTATTATTATTATTATTATTATTATAACCATATTAACAATGAAATAAAGTAATTAAAAACTCAAAAATACATTTTTAGAGTAGAAATTAAACTACTATACCAACATTATTACTAAAATAATAAAATATACTGACAATATAAATATTTTGGTAATTTTAGAATTGTAATCCAAAAGTGTTTAATGATAATTTGTCAATTAATGGAAGAAGTACAACATCCACAACATACAGCAATTTAAATTTAAAGTTAACAAAGGTTTTTAAGTAATACCCTTTCATTAATACATTTCTCATGACACTGTTTTACTCTTTGGGGCCAAATATAGGGACACACCTCCTTCTTCTGATCACCCCGTCCCCGGGCTCCTCTAATTTTACAACCACAATCCTCATATTTGTTTTTAAAAAAGCGTTCAATAACCCTTTTAAAAGACCTCTCAGATTAAAGAAATATAATTTGCACTTTCCCGCAAAAGACATTTTGAGTCCCCGCCCCAACCCCCTCCTACTATTTCCTAGGTGAGATATTTGACAAAAAACAAGTGAGCGGAGAAAAATATGAAATTTCTTGGCAAAGAAGTGAGAGTTTGCCGGAAACACCTCGTTTTTTTCATCACTTTCAATCAGCAGGTGAAACTGATACCGGTACCTTGCAACAAAGCAGTTTGCGATGATACCATCAACCACCTTGTTGTCATGAAACAGTATATTAGCCTTTTCTCGGCAGACTCTACAAGGATTTTCCCTAAGTGGAAATCTGTTTATTTAAGGCAACATTAGAGCTCCAATGATTCTCCACGGACCAACAAACTATTAACATCAAATTATAACACAAAAATGTCACAAATAAATAAAAGATTATCATAAATTCTAGGTAAATCCAGCTGGCCTCAAAATGTTTTTTGAACATAAATCAAATACAAAATAGTACAAATTGTTTATGTTTGTGTCAGCACCACACAAACTAATTTGTGTATGTCAGTTGGTGGTGTTTATTTAAACGTTGTCCAGTTTGTTAGGTAAACTTTTGTATGTTTTTTTTTTCTCCTTAACAAATAACGTAAAAACCAAATGGCTATTTATCATCTCATGGAATTAAGGGATTTGAGACACGGTCAGAAAGAGTTTTATGTTTGTATTTAGTTTTAACGAGGTAAATCAACATTAAGAACATTAAGGTCTAAAGTGTAGATTTATTACTTAGGGCAGGGGTTCCCAACCCCCGGTTCGGGGACCAGTGCCGGTCCGTAGGTCATTTTGTACTGAGCCGCAGTGGGAAACAGTGAAAAAACACTTACTTTTACTAGTTGATAGTTGTTTGACTAGTTTACCTGACTATGTTTCAAAATAAAAGGTCAATCAGACCCTGATACTAACAGATTAAAATCTGAAAGATGTTTTATTTTGAAATTTAATGATGGTGTAGTATTAGCGGTCCACAGGTCCTTGGTACAAAGAAGGTTGTGGACCCCTGGTTTAGGGTTTTGCTGGTGAGATGTTTTGTACCAATATTACAAGCGGAGAGAGTAGAGGAAAGAAAATATGAAATGTTCTAAGAATTTCCAGGCAATATGGTATGGTAGCAGTTTGTTTTGCAGGACAAAGATCAAGGGTTTCTAAGAAAGGAAAGCACCTTACACCCAGTGTTATGACTTACAGATAGCTTATTAAAGCAGCCTGGACCCTGGAAAAAATGACACCTTATTTCCCTATTCCTACGTGCTCACAAGTCAATTATTTCCGTTTACTGAAAATCTATTGATGCCATAAGTGGGTCAAACACGGTGAGTAACTGCTGATACAGTAAAACCGCAGTGCGTTTCCTGCGGCTCACGTTACCTGACTGGTGATGAGATTTTCTGTTAGTCATCCAGGAATCCTACAGATGTTATGACTTTGATCACAGAGTGTTTTTGATGTTATAGGTAATCACTGTCTACACTGCCTGTCCACTTCTTTAAAAACACTGCTTTAACAGGTACATGGTTGTAAAAAAAAATTTAAAAAAATACAAAAAAATACAAGTAGTGTTTTTACTGGGGGGTTTTTTGCCCTTCATTCTCTTTAACCCCTGGGCCAATGACCTGCAGGTATTGTTTGCGGGTTTAAAGGACATAAGATGTTAATGATTAACAAGATATTTTAAAAATCCTTATGACTTCCCTGAACTTTTTTCTCAGGAACTCCGTATCAGATGTCACAAAAGACACACCTGTGTGGACGGAGGGAGGAGATGTGATGGCTGTGGAGGTAAAGTGTGGAGGAGAGAGCGAGAGAGAGAGAGAGAGAGAGAGAGGGGTGGGGGTGCAGACATTTCTGCCATGCCAGTGCAGGTCTAGGGGGCGGACTCTGTTGTACCAATAAAAGTAGTTTGAGGAATCCTTTCAGACAGAGGTGCTGGATCTCAGAGACCAGGAGTATTATCTTCTGGTAGCCTGGACTTTGGAGGTTCTTCTGACAGACGACACTCACCAGGTGAGGAACCGTGTAGACAGCAGCAACGTGAGCTCGGTGTCTGTGTAATTTACGATGCTCTGTTTTATCATCGTTTATTGCTCTGAACTATCGCACACATGTAGACCAATCGACTGTTTGATTTATGTGGCAGTAGATATTTAGACACCCCAGTGGTGTGAGGACCTAATGTTGTGAAGGAACTTTCTTCACAGTTCTAAGACAGTTGTTTCATTCCCTCAGGACTTCCAACAGCTTTGAAAAGTGTCAGAACAAGTCCGAACAAATGCTCAAATGGAAACCTGCTGAAGCGTAGAAGCTTTGCAGCAGGTTTTGATTTGGTTCTATTCTATTTTCTATTCTATTTCTTTTACCAAAATGTCTTTCAGAACGTATTCTATTTTTTCTTTCTTTTACCAAAATGTCTTTCAGAACCTTTGAAAGGAACTGGCTTTAGTTCTTAGACGAGGAGGTCAAGGGGCAGGTCTTGATAGATGACTTTGTTATATTTCATTAAAGGATATTTTTATATTTCATTCAATGAAATCATTTGCTTTAGTCAAATTTTAAAAAAACTATTGAACAATTGAACTTGTAAAGGGGCACAACCTTGAACTGCTGACACGCTGTTTAATTATTGGCAACAGAGAAATGCTAACTTTTTAATGGAGTTCACTGTTGGACAATAATCACTATAAATGATTAAGTAACCTCCACCTCAGCAGCAGTGTCAGCCCTGGACACCATGATGTTAATCTGTAAACTGTTCAGACAACACACAGAGATCAATACTCTGGTAATCGTCCTTCAGCTTTCACTGTACCCACAGAACAGTGGTGTGCAGTGTGTGTGGCCACTCTGTGGCATGGACAGATAGATCGGACAGCAATATACTGGACAGTAGAGATGGGTAATTCGCGATTCTTTGCATGCTGGCCGATGACCTCCAGTGGCTACGAGCTGCTACTACTACCATTTGATACTAAATCAATATCAAAGCATTTAGATCAATATCCATACGAATTGAGATTAAATAGAATTCTGACCTAAAGAACCTAAATTTCCCAGTCCTACTGGACAGTTAAGAATCCTTTTAATAAAATGGAAAAATGTCAAAAATACATTTTTATCCCCAGTTAAAATGCATTATTGAAATAGATCCTTAGAAATGTCACCTGTAATTAACCCCATTTCAACAGCAGCAGTTTGAGGAGGGGTCAGTGGGTTTGATGTGAAAGTTCCCTGGTTCAAAACAGGGTGAATGCTGTATGCAGTTCCTTAATGTAGTGGTTATCACATCTGCCTTACAAACAGAAGGTCCTGGGTTCAAGCTCCAGAGAAACTACATGCTCAACGGTGCCTCCTGTGGCAGCCTGTGTGGGTTACACAGACTCATACTTTGAATTTCCACGTTGTGGGACTAATACATTTTAAATTTACAAACCAGTTGTTCAGCTAACGTCACTTAGTTCCTGATTTTCTACTGTGCTCACAGGTTACCCAGGGTTACATGATGTACACAAAAATCTTTTGAATGTCATGAATAACCTAGGAGTCTAAAATCTTAGGAATAGGAATTCTAAAACAATTCTTAATTTACCATCTTTTCTTCATGTTTTTCTTTTTGGTTCCTGATTTCTCTCCACTCTTTGAACTTGAATCCGTCATGTCTGGGGTTAAACAGGGCCACTAAGGTTTTATTGGCTCTCAGTGTTGATCTCATCATCCTGTGCACTGTGACTGTAAACATCTCCTCAGCCGTTGCCCGACCATGTCATGTATTTTATTACATTAAGGGGTTGAAAAAAAAACACTGAGTTCATTTGGCCAAACATAACCCCTGAGCCTGTGTCCTGTTTTATGCCCCTGTGGAGGCTGTTAATGTTCTGTCACCTTTATTATAATCTGACTATCAACAGCAGGAACAGAGGTTGGTGAAACCTCTGATCAAGGGTGGAAATGTTGACAGTGAGGTTTGAGGGTCACTGGATTTGATGGTCCAGGTCAGGAGATACTATCAGCTGCTGTCTCCAACAATCGGTCATTCTCCTCAGACCCTCGACTCTCCTCTGCCTTTGGTTTTTTTTTTTCCCACTCAGTGTCAGATGTCGTCACTCAGTGTCCCATGACATTCCCAAAGACCTAATTTTGACGAGCAGTGACCCGGAGTGGTCAGTGAATGCATCTCTACTGGTTAATTTACGACTTCAAACGCAGCAGGGTTGGGAACGAGCCGCAGGATTTGTGCTTAGTGCTTGGTGACACACAGGGGTGTTTAGCTTTAGCCACAAGTCACTGAGGTGACAAATATTTGTTTTGTTGTGTTCACTGACAACAGGTGACATAATTAATGTGGGTGTGGCTGTTGTCGTATGTTTTTCAGCCATTCATTGGATTTTTTTTAATTTATTCTTTTTTAATATTTAGACATTAGACTAAATATTAAGATTTTTTTTCAGAAAACAGAAGATTAATGTAACATTCTACCGTTTAACAGTTTCATATATTACTACATTTTGCACCAACAGCATATACCATATAACCATTCTTATCGTACAAAGTGGCCCGGCCCCCATTAAATATTAGATATAACGACGTTAGGTGTCTCTTGGGGGCGGGTCTTAATTTTGTTCTTAAAACTTCTCCATTCTTGTTGCTACAGCTAGCGTAGAGAAGAAGACATCTTCAAGTCTTCATCTGTACATATATTGGACCTTGTTAAAGAACTGACTGATGCAGTACTGCCACCACGTGGTCAAAAGCTGCATTGTACCTGAGCTTCGTGGATAACATATCTCTGGTGTCTTCAGTTGATATCATTGGTAAACTCCTGGTTTCTGGCAAAAGTCGCGACCCAAGTCAATAGACATTATTGGTAAACTCCTGGAAAACATTATGCGAGACGACCCCCCCAAAAAAATCTCTTGTGACCCACCTAAGGGGACGCAACCCAGTCTTTGGGAAACAATGCTCTATGGCATATACGACTATATATGACAAGTAAAGTTTGTACGAAAGTTATAGCACCCCATCTGGTCAAATTCTCCTCCAACTGACTGGATCTTTTGTTACGCAGACTGACATATGACATATCTTCTTATAGATGTTGTACGTCTTTACTGTGCACATACAGATCGTGTCCTAAAGAATGCTAAAGGACATAGGACTGATAGGAACCGATAACCCTGATGTCGGTTAGGAACTTGTCACCGATACCGTTTTACTTCTTGTTTAACTGCACAGATGAGGAACAACACACCTTAGCCTCAGGTCATATTAGTGGGGACACACACAACGTCACACACTTACACAACGGCTAATTTTGTGTTTATACCGCATTTTGAATACTGTACGCGATTCATGCACAGTTACATATATATATATATATTTTGGTGTTGTGTATTTTATGTTTGGGTCAAATACACAATACACAGCTGTGTTTAGAGGAGTTGATATAACACGGAAATAAATCATCTACATCCAGAGGGCTTTAAATAATTGGGCGTAGGAGGATGTGTGATAGGATGTGCTGGGAGGAGGGACAAAAGTTGGGAGGGAGAGAGAGCGTGAGGAGGGCTCAGGTGTCACGTTACCTGCAATATTTCAAGTTAGTTTGGTTTTGTCAGCAGGGCTTGGTCCTCCGGCGTCGAAACGCAGGGCTGTACACAAGAGCAGTGTTTATCAACGCTGTAGAGAGGGACGACCAAGGCAACCCCTAAAACCAGATTAAGTTACACTGCAAGAGAAAGGAAAAGGGGTGAGTGAGTGAGTGAGAGAGAGAGAGAGAGAGAGAGAGAGAGAGAGAACAAGAGCATATTGCAAAGATAAGGCGGGAAGAGGACAGAGGGAGAGGACAAGGACCAAGGACACACTCAGGACAGCGAGCTTCTGAGGAGTTCCACCTCCAGACGAGGGGGACAGAGTTTGACTCTGCGCTGCCTGTCAGATGAAGTGCATCTGAAACTAGCCTGGAATAGAAAAGTACATCATGTGGGTGAGTGTCTCTGGCAGCAGGAGTTAACATTCAAATCAGAAAAGAATGAGTCACTGTGTTGTTTATATGCCTCGTTTAAATATCTTTTCAAACGACTTTCTGTTTTTGGTCGCAAATGAATAGAACTTCATTTGCAGAATTGAACTTGTTGATTCTGATGGTTTATCATTTTTATATTGCTGATGTTTATGAATTAAAGGATTTAGTAGGTGTAATGTCGTCCCGGTTGCTATACACCTTTGGTCCACTGGGGTCAAAAATGACCGCACCTTGTTTTGATCATTATTTAAAGTAGTCAGAGCGACCTGTCAATCATTTATATTTTACACATTAAGTCTAACTCCAGCTCAACCCATTGGAAAGAAAGAAAAACAGAGACAATAGACCTTGCGTACATAAAAAAAAAATTAAAATAAACATTTTATTTGTGTTCAGATTCAACCCAAGAAAACACAAGGGTTAAATATCATTTTCTAGACTCAGGTTAGGCTCTTTGTCCATGTGTTTTTATTTAATGAGTAGATTATTACCACCATTAGACAGCAGACGAGGCTTGTTGCTGTTGACAAGAACAATTGCATTCTTCATCATTGTGTCCCAGAAATATCCATAAATGTTTGCACAAAGGCAGATATAAATCTCTGCCTTTGTTTAAAGCTGATCCCACATACAGATTACACACCAGTAGATTCTCAAAAGACCTTTTTGTGAACTTTTGAATTCAGGCGGAACATAATCCAACTGCGAAAAGTGAGGAGCACGTTTGAACAAAAGGGTTTACCATGTCGAGGGTTTTGCGGTTGACCCACTTGTACTTTCTACTGGTAATGGAGATCTTGCCACTGCGGGGTCTACATGTGGGTCACGTGCACTGTGAAAAAAAAAAAAACAAACAAAATAAGGCCAGGTTTATAATATCAGCTGATGATGCAGGGATAAAAAATGAGATGAGTTCACACCCTGTGAACGCAAACAAGTGTCAAAGCATGACTGTGTCATGAACTGGTTTATGTTACTCACGCTTTCATTGAAGAAATGATTTATTTTGTTTCCATTATCATATCAATCCTGCTTCATAATACGTGGTTTTAGTTTTGGAGATTAGTGATTAGGTGACCCCGCCCACACTTATGTGCGCCAATCAATTGCCTTTTAAACTCATGGTGACCTGAAGATTTCTCATATCAGGTATATTTAATGAATGTATTAAACAGCTTGTTAAATAATAAATATTGAATAAGCTGCTTTAAATATATATATATATACACAAAAATGTAACTACAACCATATTCATTTCCAGAGATTGTACAACCAAAAATGATCAATTAAAGCAATAAAAATATTTTATTATTGACAATAACTGTAAATGAATGGGCAAAAAACACAATACTTCAATATATTGAGATTTCTACTGTATATGTTATAGATTTTAGTGTTTTTTTTAACAAACCTAATTTTCTCACATTTGTTGTAAATACACTTTAAAATATGCAACTTCAACAACTGTGTGAATTTATTTAAATGTGTTGCATGTATTTATTTTATAATGAGCTCAGTTTTTCTCCTTTAAAAAACTAAAACATTTGATGCTGCGTGAAATCACAAAACTCATTACAGTTTGTTCTACTATTTAAAGGGGTAAAGTATATGACTGCAAACCAAAGTGAAATCTTTTCCTGAGTATCTGTGGTTATGTGAACCAAACCAATGCTTTAGGGCTTCATTTTTCACAGACAAAAAGGAAAAAATCTGAACAGAAAAGTGCCATTGGTAAAATGTCAGGATATCTGAGACGTACAAAGTCTGAGGTTTTAGATTCTCAGCAAAATAGAAAAAAGGCCACAAGTCTGTTTCAGTGTAGAACAACTATAAGTCGGCAGAAAAATATCATCAGAAAAAGCCGCATATTAGCTATATTAGTTAAGATATTTTCATTAATATATATATATATATATAATACAGCATTTTCTAGTCTTTACCTTACAGATTTTCCACTTACCTAGGGGAGGGGGAGTGGCATATAACCAACTAAATCTGGAATCAAACCAACAACCCTCAAGGTGTAAGAAAACTACACTACCTGAGCTCAACGAAAAAAGTGTAATGTATTTTTTCTCTTTTCGACAAAGAGCTATTTTTTTTATTTCAACAAAACATCCATTCTTATTGAAAAAATACAATAGATACCTACTTTGGGAACCAAGGCTGTTGCTAAGCAGATTTTTAATTTCAATATTTGTTCACCTATTTGCCAACATGCTTGTTGAAGCATTTTTCCAAACTAACAAAACTATAAGTTTGGAGTCATTTTCAAACAGGTAGAAACAACACGACAGGACTCACCCTTCCTGCCAACACCAACAGGTGTTTCATTAGGCCTTAGTGTGGCTACTGTGACCAACAGTAGGCTGTGGGCAGCAGGAGTTCTGGGCCTGGGTTACATTAGCAGCTAAGCTAAGGCTAAAGATTCTGAAGGTTTTTAGCAGCAGCTGTTGATGACAGACAGACACACCCTCAGCTGTGGTTAACTACAGAAAACCTAACACTCATGGTAAGAGGTCGAACACACACACAGCCTCAAGGCTGTAGCAATGAGCAGTGTTTACGTGCATTTATACTGTTAACTTTTGAACTGAGAAAACTGTTCAATACGAGGAGCTTTGTTTCATACTAGGCCAAAACTGTTAATGATTGATTAATATAGCAGTTGATTACTTATGTCCTCTACTTTTTATTGGTTTATTTTCCCTCTGAAGTATATGTTCTTTAGCCTGCTTCCTGGTGAAGGATTACTTATCTCCTCTACTTTTATGTTCTTTAGCCTGCTTCCTGGTGAAACACATAGTAGTCCTGAGTAAACAGTGAGTTAGCATATAAACTGTATGCTAACTCACAACTTCACTCAAAGTACTCTACTTCTAATTCACCACGTTTGTATTATTGTTGTGACATCATTGTGAACACACTGATGTGAATTACATGACACTTAGTCACGTGACCAGTTGAATATTTTTTTAAATATTACTGTCATCATGCACAGCTACAGTGTTCGACGTTCAACCTAGCACTGCTAATGAAACAGTGTTTCAAAGTGTTTGGTTTCAACACTTTTTAAACGGAGTCAATTTAACCTCATTGTCATTGTCACATTATTTGTTTTTCTAATTTTTCTTCAAGCTTTATGACTTCATCCTGTCTTCTTGTGATAAATACCAACTCAATTTAACCACATTATAATATTTGGTTTCCTAGTCATTTGCGCAGCTGAACAAACACAGCTCAGCAGGATCCTGTTCTTTGTGGTCAGACGTGACGTGCCTAAGATCTCAGCTGAACTGAGTGAATATGAGAGTTCATCACAGACGTTGAACTGTGGTGTCACCGTCACACCTTTCTTCACCTGCCTGGGAATTAGAGCCTGTTCTTTCTCTGTGATATCAGTTGCATTTGAATGGAGGACCCTCAGGTCCCAGTGGGCTTCACCACACTGCAGCCCACTGTACTGAACAGTCAGTCAGTCTGAGGCTTCCAAGCTGGGGTGGAGCTGTCAGTGCAATAAAAGGTCAGGTCGGTGTATATGGGAGTCAGTAGAGTTGAACAAACTAACCTTACAGTAACACTAATGAGATGTCTCAGCAGACATTTGAAAAAATGTAAGTCACATCGAGGCCAAAATGAGACAACAAAACATCTACACCTCCGCCGGGAGTAAACACTCTGGGTATTTCCTCCCCATTTCGACACGTTGACTCATTGTAATCCCTTGTCTTTACACATGCTTGCTCTTTTGTCCTCAGACCATCGCTCAGGTGCCAGAGGAAAGCGCTAAACCATTGAATCCCAGGACGACAGGTTAGCTTGTTTCAGTCTTGTTTGAATCTAAATGTTGTGGCTTCACTAGTCCAAGTTTCCTTTAAATAATCTGCTACTTGTACTGTACTGCTGAATCCTTCACACCTCCGTTTGTGATTTCACTGGTATGTTTATGTCTAGATTCTGTTGAAATGACTTCCCTGTGTCTCATCTCTATAAATGTTTCTAAATATTTCCTCCTCCTCTTCTTCTTCTTCTTCAGTGGTTCCACGGCCAGGCCGCCACAGAAAACCCATGACGGCTACAAAGACTCCGAAAGACAAGGCGCCTAAGTGCAAGAAAGTGCTGTTGACTATACTGACAGTCGTGGTCTTACTGGGAATATTGATCACAGCGGGATATTTCAGTGAGTCACCGTAGGCGTCCCAGATTATCAGATGATCATCTGGCCCCTTTTTTTATTACTGATCAACCAAACTCTCCTTGCTTGCCCCTGCAGTCAAGCGGCTGATAGAGAGCAAGTACTTCTTCTGTAAGCGTTCCTTCAAGTTCATCCCCTTGGACAAAACCTGTGACGGCATCGATGACTGTGCCGGAGGAGAGGATGAAATTACATGCTTGTCGAGCTTCACCGTCAACGCTACCTATCCAGGTGAGGGAAAAAAACAGAGAGAAACACCCAACAGTCTTGGCGTTGCCATTACAGCCGCATAAACAAACATTGTTATTACGGCTACGAGGACAACACCTGTAACATGACTCCCTGTTTCTGCCTCCCTTTAGTCCGTCTCATGACGAGTAGGCAAATCCTGCAGGTGTACAGTCCCAGCTCAGGCTGGAGGAGTGTGTGCAGCGAGGATTGGACTGAAAAGCACACACAGACCGCGTGCAACCAACTGGGCTACACAAAGTGAGTGTCGCACCATTTAGGAGAAACTTACCTCTGTGTAAAACACTGCAGGATGTGTATGTGACCTAATCTGCTGTCGCCACATTTCTGTGTTACCAGCAAACCCAAAAGCACCAACGTCCAGGTGAACACTCTAATGTCATCCATGAAAAGTGGTCCATTTGCTGCCGTCAGACCTGCGACTAAAACCACACCCGTACATCAGGCCACGACCGAGCGGTGAGATAACATCTTTAAAGTCGTGGACAAATAGAAACTCAGTGTCAGAGTCCATTAGTCTATTGTTGGTCACTGGCAACAGAAAGGAGGTTGTCTGTTAAAGTATCTGTTGACCTTCTGCATCAGTCGGCCGTTTTTCATTTTGTTCTCATTTCATCCCGTGTCTGTCAGAGAGACACATTTAGAAGTTTCTCTTCTTCTATGTCAAAAAACCCCAAAGTTTTTGTTCCCTTGTTGTGTGGGAGTCAAGAAAGACGAGTTCTCTGTTAAAAACAAACCGAAATAGAAACAGGTGAAGACGTTCAACAGTGGAATGAAGTTAGGCCAACGTTTGGGTGTGTGTTTGGTCTGTCTGTATGATGGTGACGAGAGTTCACAAACAATGTGACAAATGCCTTGTTTTTCTTTTTTTATTCCACAGCACTGTGTGCAGATCTGGATCGGTGATATCTTTGTCTTGCTCAGGTGAGTTCAGCCACAGTTACTGTACTCTCTGACAGACAGAGTGAAGCTGACGGGTAGACGGTGTCAGCAGATATGTTTTTATGCCTAGTTTCACACTGACAGGCCCAGACACGTCTACAGTGAACTGCAAAACTCTTTCTTGACAACATTAAGGGCAGAGTGTGGGCCATCATTCATGTGAAACAGATGAAAAAGATGATCATTTAAACTGACACTTTGAATAAAGATATGAATACAAAATTTTTCATTAAAAAAATGTACCTCTATTTTTGGGGCCAGACTGTGGAGAAGTGGGCTTTCAGGACCGTATCGTGGGCGGCACAGACGCACTCATCGAAGACTGGCCGTGGCAGGTCAGCCTACAGCAGGGGGGTCAACATACGTGTGGAGGTACATTAGTGTCGCCACGCTGGGTGGTCACTGCTGCCCACTGTTTCACGGGGTCAGTTTGGTTTCCATTTACTGTAACATTTGTAGTAAAAATAATCCGAGGATAAACTTACCCGCTCTTCTCTCTGGAAAACCGCAGGAGTAATAGGGAGCTGAGTCGCTGGAAAGTGGTGACGGGACGCACCTACATGGGCACGCTGGGGGGCACGTCTGTGGACAGAATCATAATGCATGGAAACTATGATTCAGCCAGAAACGACTACGACATAGCACTGATGAGACTCAGCAGCCCCGTCACAATAGGAGGTAGGAGTTAGCTTTTAGATGTTCTAAATAAAACAGTGGAAAAACACTGGGCTTATAAACTCCAGTAGCTGTGAGAATACAATTTTTTTTAATGCTCTTTTGCCCTCTAGTGGAGAGCTTGCTTTAGGTCAACCCTACCACTGGGCTGGGAACCAGACTTAAATCATTAAGTCTGCAGGGCATTTAATTCTGAAAAATAATTGCTCTCATTAGATAATAATAACATAACATAACATAATAACATTATAATACATTAATAATAATAATGATAATAAAATAATACAATGTGTAACAATACTAAAGGCGCATTCTTCTATTTTTCAGAGACCCGCAGGCCGGTTTGTCTCCCCCCTAAAGCCTTTGGTGTTGCTGCTGGAGCCTCCTTGACAGTGACTGGCTGGGGATACCTGGAGGAAAATGGTAAAAAATCATACACATCATCCCATACATTCTTTATCTGGCACCACATGAGTGTTAATTTGAAAAAAGAAAACCCATCTTGGGTTCAATTAGAGCTGCAGCTTGTGCTCATGTCTGTAATCAATAAATTCATTTTCATGATTGTATTTAAATATCTATTTAATCTATTTAGCTTTGATTTTGCCATTAATGTTTAAGTAGGTAAAGATTGGAAATTGTATAATGTATGTAAATATATACATGTAGATAAAGATCCAAAGATATATATAGAAATAAAATACTTATATTAAAATATATATCAAATATTCACATGTCTAAACAACTTACTAACTAACTAACTTAACAACATCAAAATATAGCTAACATTTATAGAAAAATTATTAAAAAGAGTAAAGTGACAATTGTAAATTAAAATGAAGCTCCGATTCAGGGAAATTGTAATTGAATAATTTTGTCAACCTCTGCGTCTTTTCCTTGTGCCACAGGTAATGTTTCTCCTTCACTGCAGAAGGCCAACATCCCTCTGATCGACCACAGTGTCTGTTCTGGTCCCACAATTTATGGCAGTTCCATTACCCCAAGGATGATGTGTGCTGGTTTCATGTCAGGGGGGATTGATGCCTGTCAGGTACCAACAGATCACCATCCACAGAAAATACTGTGTATAATAATACCAAACATATTTGGTATGAATATTTATCATCTAACAATGTCCCTCATGTCTTGTCCCAGGGGGACAGCGGAGGTCCTCTGGTTCACTACACCGCCTCCAAATGGCATCTAATGGGAGTGGTCAGCTGGGGCGTCGGCTGTGCACAAGAGCGCCGGCCAGGTGTTTACTGCAACGTGGAGGAAATGCTCGACTGGATTCACACAGTTGTAGAGGTGAAGACAAAAGAAATCCAGTTTCATTTCTTTCTCTTTTGCTTTTTTGTGCTTCTGCCCCCCTTGTTCATGGACTTTATGTCCATATCTTTTTTCTTTTTTTGTTAAGTGCAGTGAAAATATCCAGTTTATTTGATCTGTTCCACTATTTGTTTTAAATACATTGGATAAACACAGTTCAGGAAACGAGGTAGAGTTAGCCTCCTGGTGGAGAAGTTGCTCATTACAGCAGCAGTGACAGTAAAAATACTGTTGGTTGACTTAAACCATATAGACAAAAAACCAATCAAGTTTTAAATGACAACTACATATTGATAGGATCAACTAAACGAGTTTATTTTTCTCTCTGTGTCCTTACAGAAAAATCCCTGAGAGAAGCAGCCACCAGAGGTCACTAGTCCAGTCAGCTGCAGCCAAACTGACATTGAGGAGGATGAAAAGGTGGAGGAGGACTCTTCTCCAGAAAGACACGCATGAACTGTTAACACAGGCCTGAGCCAACAAATACACAGACACACACACACTTTGTTTGTGCCATTTCAAGTTCTTATCTCAGGGGGAAAGTGTTCTTTTATATAACAGCCTGTCGTCACTGTGTCAAAGGTCTAAAGTTTTAAAGTGGTGGGGTGAAGGCTTAACTGCCGTGTCGGATGTGCTGATCTCAGGCAGGATGTACTTGACAGCTTTGGTTTTAGGTGTGAAATGCGTTGCTGAGAGATTCTGGGTGTAAATGCAGTGTAATGGAACTGGTCAGTGGAAATGTAGGCCTGAAATCTGTAAGGATTTCTTTTAAACATGCACTTTAATCTGAACGTGAGAATTTCTTGGCCGTATTGTGTTTGTGTGCCTTAACTGCACTGAAAATAATGACAACACACTCATGTGATTTTTGGTTTTTTTTTAACTGAAGTGCCTTCAATGTGCAATAAGTCAAACAGATCCAGTGTGACTTAATGAAAACATTCAGGGTGGTTATTCAGTGTTGTTGCCCTCCCAGCTGGAGGATATAAAAGTACAGAGTAGGTTTCTTTATTTTTAAACTGTTCTATTTGTGGCAATGCAAAGACTTTTTTTTATCGTTACCCTGGTCTCCTTGGAAACCAGATGGAACTTTGTAAATGTAAAAATGTTGTATTATATAATTGTTTTATACAATAAGCACACATTGTGGCCCAGTTCCATCCACATTGTGGATGCTAGCTAAATGTATTGTATGAGATATATGCTGTTTTTAATTCACATGTAAATATGTTGTAAATATAATAAAAACATTTCTTTCATTCACTTTTTTTTATATTACTAGACAATTTAAAACCCCCAATCATTTTACAAAATTATACATTAAAAATATTTTAGTGTTTTGGTAAAAATGCATCAGGTATGTATTACTATTTTGAGACAAAGAAAATGTTATGGAAAAAAACTTTTTTATTTTCCTGAATATCAGAGAACAACATCAGCTAATGACAAATCATTGTTTTATACATTAGCAGCTAATCGGTGTTAATGATCTGGAAGTTTGGATGTGAACAGCAAAAACAACTGTTCCTCAATGGGCCGTGTGGCTGCAGGTTTTTGTTCCAACCAACGAGGAGCTCACAGTTTGACCAATCAGGTGTCTGAGGACTGAGAACACTTGATTAAATGTATTAAGTCAGGTGTGCTACTGCTTGGTTGGAACAAAAACCTCCAGCCACAGCGGACCTGTGTGGAACTGTTTGGGCTCTGTTACAAGAAGATTCTGGAACAAAACAAAAAACAAAAATCAAACGCCATATCAATCAATCCACCATACTTTGGTTACTTCCCAAAACGATTGCTGGGACCTCGGAAGGGATGATACTGAAAAAAGATGAAGAAACCAGGAAGAACTAGATTAAAATAAATATTAAAAAACGTAAGAAATTATGTGTGACAAGTCAACACGCAGCCTGTGCTTCCTCCAGAAGTTCACTGGCGAGCTATGGATCTATGGACCACAATAAGATCAGATGTTGCTTATTGATAAACCAAGCGTCACCCAGCAGGGGGAGACACTCAAGGAGGTTTATTATTCAGGTACAGTAACCGTACCTGTTATGTATGTCTGGCTCCATTCTGAAGCAGCGGTGGTGATAATTAAGTAGCAGTACGCCGCCCTGATTACTGTGTATAATAGAAATGCTGACGTACAATGAGCGTGTTGTTTTATTTGAACTCTTCCTACCTCCTCTTCATCACTGTCATCAAACGCCACTCCTTTCGACACCTGGCCCTGACTCTGAGAGCTGTTCTTTGAGAAGGATGACGACGTCGCCGCTGCCCTGTGATCAAGAGCAGACACAAATATAAGAAATAAAGGAAAAAAACAAACAAATTCATATGTGAATGTAGCGTTAACTATACTCCGCAATGTAGGACAGGGCAATACCTAGGGGCGGGGCGGGGAGCTTTCATGTAGGGCATTTCTTCATCGGAGTCATCAATGCGCACCTGACGTTGAGAAAACGGGGAAATCCAGGTAGAGAAGATAAGTAGAATTCACAAAAAAATAACAATTTGTGACAGGTTTGAAGCACCTGCTGTAACGTACATCATCTGAGATGTAGGCCTTGGAGGCTCCGGCCCGTGATGGTCTTTGGGATGAGGCCTGAAAAGCTGAGACATAAGAACAGGAGTGATGAAAGGGCGTCATAAAACAGAGGTGAGGCAAAAGTAAATAAAAATAGTGATGGTGAAGTAATGTGAAAACAAACAGGTTCATGTAAAGTTACTAAAAACAATTATTTCGGTGTTTTGTGGTTAACGTTTCCCCCACCTTGCATAATGCTTCTGTTCTGAGTTGTTGATGAAGAAGATTTCTGGGAACGACCCCGACCTGTGGGTTTTGGTTCGGAAGCAGCAGATGATCCTAGAAGAGGAGATGAAAACAAACTAACATTCCTGGTTGCAGAGTTTGAGTCTCTGGTTTTTCCTGTTTAATAATTGGTGGAAAGCTGCCACTCAGTGGCGCTGTGTTTAATGTTCTTTAATGAGCCTTTGCAATATTTATACGAGTACTTCTGACTTTGTACAGTAACAATAACTCACCTCTGCCCCTCCCTCCCCGACTGCCACGTCCTCTGCTACCTCGCCCTCGTGTCGGGGGAGGCAGTGGGGCAGGTTCTTCGTCAGAGTCCAGGCCCATGTCACTGGGCATTTCTTGATCTAAAGGCTGATCGTCACCGCGTTCCAGCCGCAGTGCTTTGGCTCTGTTCATGGCCTGAGAAACGAACCACCACATGGTCAGAGTCAGACCATGTGCAACGCCTGTGAAATGTCAGATGTTGTGCACACTTACCTCTTTGATTTCATTCTCCTCCTCGGTTGTGTTCTTTTTAGAGTCTTTGAAAAGTCTGATCTAAAATTATATTTAAAAAAATGAATAGAAATGATTTGATTTGTTTGCATGATAAAATGTGTCATTTCTAATCAGCCAGCTTCACCTCTGCATCTATGTCCTGTTCTGTTGTGACTCCCCTGGCCTGCAGGTGGCGCTGTGTCTTTTCCAGCTGATATTGGATGAGCTCTTGAATTGCATCTTTCTCATCTTTGTCTACAAACTCCTGAATGGCCTTCCCCATGCCCTGCTCAG